AACATCCCAGAAAGTGAGGAAGAGCCAGGTCGAAAGTGAGGCTAGAATGATAGAGACACTATTCTCTGTACAGGCAGCATCAGGATCAGCTGGGAACTTACTAACAATGCAAAATCGCACACTCCATTACAAATTTTGTTTTTTTTTTCAGACAGAGTTTCTCTCTTGTCACCCAGGCTAGAGTGCAGTGACACAATCTCAGCTCATTGCAACCTCCACCTCCTGGGTTCAACTGATTCTCAGCTCCCAAGTACTGGGATTACAGGCCAGCACCAGCATGTCTGAATAATTTTTGTACTTTTAGTAGAGATGGGGTTTCACCATGTAGGCCAGGCTGGTCTTGAACTCCTGACCTCAGGTGATCTACCCACCTCGGCGTCCCAAAGTGCTGGAGTTACAGGTGTGAGCCACCATGCCCGGCCTTCATCCAGATTTATTGTGTTCAAATCTGTATTTAACAAGATCCCAGGTGATTAGTAGATATACAGCTTGAAATGCACAATCCATACCAAGGGTCAGCACACTATTCTTGCAGGTCAAATCTTCCTGCTGCCTGCATTTGTGCACAAAGCATTGCTAGATCACAGCCATGCCTGTTTATTGACTAAGTGTCTACGGCTGCATGCATACTACCATGATAGAGTAGTTGCCACAGAGATTGTTTGGCCTGCAAAGCCAAAAATATTTACTATCTGTCACGTTACTCAAATGTTTCCCGATCCCAAGTCTATATTGTGGCGTGTCTCATAAGGAATATTAAGGATTTTACATTTATTCTAAGAGCAAGGGAAGCTAGTAAAGATTTTTCATTTTTGAAAGATCACTCCAGCTACACAGAGATAAAAGGCATGCAGACAGTACATGCCCCAGAGGAGCTCAGGGTCCGGTGGGAATTCACTTTTATCTTCAAAATTAGATGTTTGCTCCTTTCATGAGGGGGCTGACTATATTATTCACTCATTCTTTGTTGCCATAGTTAACTCCCTCAGTGCCTGGCAGGGTTCTAAGTATTTAGCCAATATTAAGTGCTATTTCCTGACTCAGTAAATGGTTTAAACTGTAACAGTTAAGGTCTACCAACCTTAGAAACTTATTTTGCAGACACTTTAAGGGTCAAAATACTAAGACACCTGACCTACTTTCAACAGTTTCCTTTTCCTTGACATCTAAGCCCTGTTTCTGACATAAAATCTAGACCCATAGTGGAAACCAAGCCATTGGCAACACTGAGAATTTCAAGAGAGAGCAGAAAAATGGGAATCCTGTTCCAGTCTCCAGCTTGCATAGGACTGCAAGGAGAAGTTCTGAGCTTTAGGTTCTCTGTGACATGGGGAAGCTGAAACAGTTTATCTCTAAGGTTTGCAAAGCTTGAGCATTCTTTTCTCCTTAGAGTTGTACAAGGTAACAAAATAGAGGCACTAGACAGGTCTCTGGCTTACCTGATTCAATTCCCTGTGTCTTTATTAAGTCTAAATGGAGCTCTTCATGTGGCATACATGAATGATAACTGATCAGAATGTTGGAGAGAGAGAAAAAAAGCAAAAACCTCACAAAACTCCAGTCACAAAAGAGGATTTTGTGCATTGTTGGAGATTTTATGTGCTTCTGCTCCCTTTCATTTGTACAGGTAATTTAACATTACTGGCTCAACTACTAGTCCAGCCTTTTCTACCCATTAGGTGTTATTCTGTCTGTAGATGCTGGCTTCACCAGCTGGTTAGCTTATTTTTCATATCATGAGTTGGCAGCACTTGAATAAACGAAATATTCCATGGCAAGAAGCTGGATGTCTATAAACTCACTATGACAAATGGACATACCATGAAATCCACAGTGCTGCTGCTGAAAGATAGTGTTTTGAGAAAGTGGTAGGTGATGTTTTCTGGAAGAGGTTACAACTTGGTGCATAGAAAAAGGTAAAAGATTTGAGGATAACAAATGGCTTTGAGCACAGATAGATTTTTAGGAGTGTTGTCATCTTCTGGGCAATATGCCTGCTACAAGAAGTGTTGATTCCACCCATAAAAAAGCAGTTTGCAAGTTAAGCAGACTATCTAATGGATAGCATTAAACTGGAGGAGAATATTGTGGAGCCGTCTCTATTACATTTTGTAGATGTTGTTGCTCAGCATTATCTTCTGTTGATTGTTGTTGATGACACTCAATTAAAATAATATTTTATCAAGTCATATTATGTTGGGTGCTGTGGAAAATAGAGAAACAGTGCTGGCTTCAAGGGTATCTGACTTGTACACTTGCACAGGGCCCTGCACTTGAATAAATGCTCTGCTATTGCCATCTTAAAATTATTAAATTTTGGACAAGGGGCCCTGTATTTTTATTTTTACAGGGCTCTGCAAAAGAGGCAGCTTTCTCTGCATAGAAGGTGGCAGTTTCTGTTTCTTGCCTAAAGGAGTTAAAAACTTTGTGTTTTTGAATCATGTTAGGACAGTAACGTAGAAACTTGCTTAATTACTCTAAGCCTTGGCTTCCTCTCTTTGTATATATAAAGAGACTACATCGCATATATAAAGAAGCTTTGTATATATAGAGAGACTGCTGTCTAAGGAGAGGAAACCAAAGGCTTAACCTATAAGGATTATTTTTCCAAGTAAGTACTAGAGACAGAATGCTGAAACTTCCTCTCCTTTCTACGAGTCCAGTGAGAAAGAACTCTGTCAACAAGGATTTTTGCTGAGTTCAAGATATGCCTCAGCCCAGGATTAGTAGCATTGGAACTCCAATTGCTAGGGAACTCAGGAACATCTGGGTGTGTTAAAAAGAGTGCTCAATAAAGTAGTAGGAGAGCTGTGGCAAGGCTGCAGCTGAAAGGTTCATCAGAAATGGGAACCAGTACCAACAGGCAAGCCAGGAGTCTGTTCCCCAGTACCTTATTTAAACCTCTGGGGCCAGATTTGTCTCAGAATTCAGAATTTTTGTTATTTTTGAGGGGTAACAAGGTGTATACTCCATTAATTATGTAAAATCCCTGCAGTATATCTGGGCAGCATCTCATAACCAAGCGTTTTGCTCTTTCTTCAGTGAGATATGTAACTGCTAGCATCCAATAAGAACATGTTTAAGCATATGAGTAGTTAGGTCAGTCAGATGTTGCTGCTGAATGTGTTCAGGTCAGGGCATGTTTCATGACAAAGGAGTTACAAATTTTTAGATTTCAGCATTTTGAGTTTGAAACTGTGGATAAGGGATTATAGACCTGTGTCAAACAAGGGATAGGAGATGGGTCCTCAGCGCTCGGAAGAGCAGAGACAGTTTAGTCATTTCTCAAGTGAAGCTATTTTGGTCTAGGGACTTTTTCTGATGGCTTGTTAGGAAGCCCCAACCTCCCCTTACCATGACAGACCACAAGACATTCTTCCTAATGAAGTAAAGAAATAGATGTAAGGCTGGGATCATCCATTTTCAGCAGCTTTTAGCAACTTCACTGCCCTCTTTTCCCTGCTACTCTAGCTTGGCAGCTTCTTGAACACATGGTCTCTCTGGCCATATTTTCACTGTGGAAAATGACATTTTCAGAGCTGACTGTCCCTAGGATTCATCTGTCACTTTCCCTCCGTGTTCTTCATATGGCTCTTGGCACACATGGCTCACTCTTAACTTCTCAGATGGGTTTTTAAAACCTTGGCCAAATATCCAGCCCCTTCATTAGCACTCTTCTGGTCCTCACACCAAATAAAACCAATGAAATGGAAAGATATAAATATATATATACATACACACACACAACACGGGTGAACACACACACATGCACATTTTATATACATATGCATTTTCCACAGGAAAATAGAAATGAACCCTATTCAGGTTTAGTACTTGCTTCTTTGTTTGGACCATAAAATTGACTTCAGTAGAAGTTGTCACAGACAAGCCAAACAAATCCAGTCTTCTTTTTGTTTTGCTAGGTAAATGGTTCTCAAAGTATGATTCCTGGACCAGCCATATCAGCATCATCCAGGAAATTGTTAAAAATGCAAACTCTCAGGACACACTCCAGACCTACTAATTAGAAACTCTGGTAATGGGGCCTGGTGATCTGGGATTGTGATGCTAGTTAAAGTCTGAGAACCCTTGCTCTAGACAAATTAGTTTTGCTCTCATCCATCCAGAACTTCAATTTCCCTTAAGAAATGTTGTAGTTAAAATTTTTACTTCCCCATGTCCCTTAGCATTGGGATTGCCACGTTGTAAATTCTGGATATCAGCCCTTTGTCATATAGGTAAACTGCAAAAATTTTTTCCCATTCTGTTGGTTGCCTATCCACTCTAGTGACTGTTTCTTTTGCCGTGCAGAAGCTGTGGAGTTTGATTAGGTCCCATTTGTCTATTTTGTCTTTTGTTGCCAATGCTTTTGGTGTTTTGTTCATGAAGTTCTTGCCTACTCCTATGTCCTGGATGGTTTTGCCTAGATTTTCTTCTAGGGTTTTTATGGTGCCAGGTCTTATGTTTAAGTCTTTAATCTATCTGGAGTTAATTTTAGTGTAAGGTGTCAGGAAGGGGTCCAGTTTCTGCTTTCTGCACATGGCTAGCCAGTTTTCCCAACACCATTTATTAGACAGGGAATCCTTTCCCCATTGCTTGTTTTTGTCAGGTTTATCAAAGATTGTATGGTTGTAGATATGTTGTGTTGCCTCTGATGCCTCTGTTTTGTTCCATTGGTCTATATCTCTGTTTTGGTACCAGTACCATGCTGTTTTGATTACTGTAGCCTTGTAGTATAGTTTGAAATCTGGTAGTGTGATGCCCCCTGCTGTGTTCTTTTTGCTTAGAATTGACTTGGCTATGCGGGCTCTCTTTTGGTTCCATATGAAGTTCATGGTGGTTTTTTCCAGTTCTGTGAAGAAAGTCAATGGTAGCTTGATGGGGATAGCGTTGATTCTGTAAATTACTTTGGGCAGTATAGCCATTTTCACGATATTAATTCTTCTTAACCATGAACATGGAATGTTTCTCAATCTGTTTATGTCCTCTCTTATTTGAAGGCAAAGACAATGCCTAGAAGAGAGCAGCCACTTTGTGACCATGAAGTTGGAGTCCGCACTACAGAAGGTACTATGAGTTTATGTCCCCAGGACATGTCTGAGCCTCTTTCCCGACTTCTTATTAAATGAGAAAAATGGACCTGGGCTCAATGAAGCCACTGGTGTTCATGTGTTGTTACTGTAGATGAACACAATTCTCAGGGAAATGTATTGAGTCAACATTTATTAACATTTTATCTTTGTTGTTAGATGAATAGTCACTCTTCTTTTTCTTCAACAACCATATCTTTTCAAGAGTATATATTTCCATTTAACACATACAGAAACAGAAGTTACAAGAGATAAGTAAGTTGCCCAAATTCTCACAGCTGGTAGACAGCAAAGCCAGAGTTAGTAAATTGAGGTTTTACTGTCTCTAAAACCTTGAGGTAAACTTCTATATTGGGGTAAAGCATGGACAAATGTAAGCTTGGAGGGGTCTGGAACCTATAGTATTTCAAGGGCCTTCTTTAAGACAAGAAAGAGAAAAGTATTTATTAAATGTGATCTGGGCCTTCCACTGGCCTTGAGAGTCATGTGGGAAAAAGAAGAGTACTTATCTTTACACGAAATCAGCTTTGCTTTCACCATTTATTAAGGACAATTGTTTTCTATCTCCATGTGTCACTCCGACATGAAAACTTAATATTGTAAAATACCAGGAGAAAATATTTCGGTATTTCTTGAGACGCTCAAACCTATTTTGGTTCCTAATAGCCACTGCTGGCTTAAATGCAAGCAAACAGAGGGTTCCATCACCATCATTTTATAAGTTGGGTAAATTCCTCCCTTTCTATGGATACTGTCAGGTATTAGAACAACTGGTGACAAGTGGCTGTGGATTTGAAATGCAACCCTGTTAAAGAGATCATATTTTTTGAATGTTGGAGTTAAAGAACCCTGAATAATGCAGTATGACAATGAGTAGAAGCACTTTCTCTGTTATCCTCTTGCCTAGATTTAACTCCCAGCTCAACGGTTTCACGGCCCTATAGACTTGGGTCTCAGTATTCTTATCCAGAAAAGGACAGATAATAACAGTACTTATTTCAGAGAGATTTTTGTGAAAATTCATGAAAATAAGCCATGCCAAGTACTTGTTAACCGGATACTTGGCACATAGTTAGCATTCAAAAAGGGCTAACAATGCTTATTACCACCCATGATCCTTCTGTCCACTACCTGTGTGATGTTACACGTGAAGGGGTCTTGGGTTTACAGCCTTAGAAATTACATGTGAAAGGGTCTTGGTCGATGGAGGAGTGGGGCGGGGGTTTGATCTTGTTTAAGTAAAAACGATGCCTTCTGGAGAGATTCCCCCATACCATGCCTGCCATTTATAGGAAGGTGATTTAGGATGTGCCAGTCAGCCAGCCTTTTCTTCTATTGAAATGCAGTGCGGAAGTCAAGGGGGAAGTGATCTTAGATGCTTGAGTCTCCTTCCTTATCCCCATCTGTATAATGATAAGGTAGACTAAATTGCTCTTCATGATACCTTAGTTAGAAATGGAAAATTCTAAATTCTGCACGTGCCTGCATCTATATGTATGCATGAGGACATAGGCTTTGCCTCTTTTGTTCAAACATGTTTACCCAGTCAGCAATGCCTGACACACAGCACCTATTAACTGAAAATTTGTTAAATCAATGAATGTTTACAAATATTTAGCTTCTTAAGTATATGACTCTATGGCTTATCCATGTAAAAAGCTGCACAACTGAAGTTATAAGCAAGCACTTCTCAGGAGACTCTGGCAATGATAAAGGTCAACACTCAGTCATGCATAAAACTGGAAGGGTGGTATGGTTTCACCCACGTGTTGTTCACTAGCAAGAATGATCTAAAGCCTCTTAACCCAGCAGGAATCCACATAAAGTGTTGAGGTCTCTGGGAAAAAAATACCAACAGCTATTACGCTTCCTGTTACTTTTACTTGATAATAGCTTCTATTTGAACCTTGTGAAAATGTAAAACCTACTTTCATGTACTCATGATCACTATTGGATTGAACTCCAACTTCAGAAATTTTTTACCATTTGGCTGTGCAGGTGGTCTTCCTCCAATACCTATCACTAACCCTATTGATTTAGTTAATGGAGCAGGCAGCCTCTTCCTCCATCCTTGCTGTAGATGTGGTAGCCTTTACTTAAGATGACTTTCTCGTAGAGGAGAGGTCCATTCCCCAGTCAAGGGCAGAAAGCAGTAAATTTACTCTAAAAACCTTGAAGCGGGTCCATAAGACCCTTGTCATTTCTGGGATGTTCCATCCAGTCTGGTTACAAAGCAGTTCTGAGACAGAAAGCAAAGACACATCTGTAGTGTGTCCCCATTTGACACCCACAATCAACAGACTACAATGACTGTTAAAGAGTGTTTAGATTGTTAGTCATAGAATGTGTGGAAAGCTTTTTATCTCTGAGAAGCAGATCGCTGAACCTCATCAATAATACTCCAGGGTCAATTTTATTTTCCCACTGGGGGAAATACTGACATTGTCATCACAGGCCCCAGAGAGGCCTGACTGTACCAAGGACAAAGAGCCAGGCACTGTGAGGCAGGTGACAAGAGTAACAGTATTTACCTATTGAGATCAAGCAGATGCAAATGTCCCTGTTTCACCTCCAGACAGAAGACCGTGAAAGTAATGAGATGGAAACAGACCCATATGACATCCTCTCTCTGCCTTCCCCTCCACCTGTCCGTGTTGGCATTTCCAGCAGAAACACATTCTCACTTGCCTTCACAGTATTTAATTATAATTTTAAACAGGAAGTTGATTATGTATTCTCTTGCTTAAAACCTTCAATTGGGGTCCCCCTTCCTTAACATAAAATGCAAACTCCTCCCCATGGCTTTCAAAGCCCTACAAACCTTGAGCTTTTCTTATGTCTGGGCCTTTTCTTATGTCTCAGGCTATCCTTACCTAACGTGCCTTGTTCCAGTTGCTTGTCTTCTTTTCCTTTGCACACTACAGCTTATTCTGCTTTCTGTTCTTTATACACTCTTTACTCCATCCAGCACTTTGCTTCCAGCTCTGCCCCAAGCCCCTTCTCAGCTCCAGTTTCTTCCTCCCAAGAGACATTCCCTGAACTCTCTTGTAAGGGAGAATTTCTCTACAACACCATGCATATATGTATATGTAAAGCGCATACTGTAAGTGAAAATTATCTCAATTATTTGCTGCTCTTTTAGTGTCTGCTCCCATCATTAAGATGTAAATGCATAAGGACAGGGCCTCAAGCAGTGCAGCAAAGCCCAGCATACCTTATATGCTTGGCTAAATATTTGCTGAAGAAATGCATGCTCTCCTGTTCATAGTGTATCATCTCATCTACACAGCGACTCTGTGAAATAGTGTGTGGGGGGGGTGTTACTAATTTTTTTTATGTGATTAACCCTACTATGCAGTTAAGGAACCCGACAGTTGCTATTAGAGATGAGATTGTAGCCTCTTGTTCTGATTCAGAGGCATGTTCATTTCTCACCGTCTCATGCTGCCTTAAATATCAAAAGGCTATGATTGCAATTTGAAGGCTAAAGTACTTTGCAAATATAAATTAATACTCCCACATTCTACCTACTTATTAAAGACACTACACAAATTCTCTTTAGTTGCCTAAAAGTATTTGCCTGACACCAAGCCTTTCACCACTAACCATTTACAGCAGTGCTACCCAGAATATATATTCACTCATATCTAAAATGAGGTCTCCAAGAATGTCCCCCTTCTCCAATATATTTCACTTTGTTTTAGAGATTTCCAACAGAGTATGGAAGCTCTTAAGAGTAGGAATTTTGTCTTCATTGTCACTATCCTCAGGCTTAGGAGTGTGCTGTTTATATGAATCTAACTCAAATATCTGTTGAATAAATAAATGAAGACCAGCTGCTTATAACAATACAGTGTAGTTAATTGTATTTCTATAATGTATTTCATCCTTGGAACAATGAGATGAGGGACAGATTATAATTATCTACATTTTACAGAAGAGGAAACTAAGGTATAGACAGGTAAAATACTTGCCTATGGAGGCATGGCCGGTAAGTAGAAGAACTCGGATAAGAATATTGCTATTCTTAGTCTTCTTAGGTAAATCTGCAATTCCTTTTCCAGGACTCAGTCAGTGCATTCTCTGAAATTTTTTGGAAGAGAGGAAATTATAGCATGAACTGAGCTTTTCCTCTGCTTGGGGCTATCACCATCTCACATTTCTCTTCGTTTCCCCAACACCTACCCAAGAACCTATAGTGAAAAGTAAAACTAAGGTTTTCTCACACAAATGTTGGGGGCTCCACTTCTATACTGTGAGTTCTCTGGCATCAACTTCTATGAGCAGATGTCTGTTGGTATCTAAAGAATAAAAAAAAAATCTTTCTTGTTCTGGGAGCTAGCCAATGAGGAGCCATGAAAACGGAGATTGAAATAGTATCTTTATTGCCCATGGTCGTAGACATGTGGCAGTGGTGGCTTCTTTACTTTCAACCCCTGAGTATTACAAACTTTGCCCCCCAGTTTGAGATAACACTGCATTAACACTGTCCCTCTCTCTCTATTACCTGGAGATCTGCCACTGAACAACGTGCACCTGGAAGAGGAGACAGAACACGTAATCCTAAGAGAAAAAGGAAGGGAAGGGCTGAGCCACGCACGCCCTGTTCCTTCTTTCACATTTTTCACTGAGGAAGAGCAAGTGATAAGGTAAGTAGAGAGAGGCTGGGAATGTTCCAGTGATGGATGGATCTCCTTCCACAGCAGAAGGAAATCTGTCCTCAACATGGGGTCACGGAAACATAAAACAGGTGAGCTCGATATTTGGATGAGGCCCATATTGTCCAAAATTGCCTTAGTAGTTTTGACTAAGACACACTTAAAGTCACGTGATGTTTGCCTCACAATCTTCCCTTTTTCTCTGAGTACATGTTCACCCAACCACTGGGAATTTTCTTTCAATTGATGTATTTTGGTACCTCTCTAACAATGGTGGAAAACAATGCTTTGGTTATTATGAGGTTGAACTACATGAAACTGATGATGTGTAATATTTACCCACCAAAAGCATCAATTTCATGTAGCTCACCCTAATAAATATAGATAGAATATGATGCAGAATATTTATAAGAAAATGAGAAGGAGAAAGGGAAACAAGGAAAGAGAGTGTTTGAATATTAATCAAGTAATTAATCCATGGTAATTAGTTATAGATTTAGAAAATAAATTAAGTATGTAGTGCAAAGTCCATAAGCACTATGAATTTTGGTTGTGGAATTAGACTGGAGGGCTCCAGGTTTGGCCTTTTGAATGCTCTGTTTGATTAGGAACCTTTGATTCTAAGTGACAGAGTCAACCAACTAGCAGGAGCGGGAGGTAAGGAAAGGCCTGTATCACTAGGAAATAAGCTCTTCGAGGAAGGAACTGGGGTCTGTGTGGAGGGAGAACATGTTGTATTTATCCATGATTACTCACTAGTTCTGACTTCAAGCTTATCTTAAACTTTTTCACAGGTGGAAGTAAGAAAGAAAGGGAAGAAAGACTTAATTTAAGACAGTAGTTATCAAAGTCTGGTCAGTAATCCCCTGGGGGTCCCTGAGGCCCTTTCAGATATTCTGAGAGTTCAGAAGTCTTCACAATAATACAAATTTGTGATATACATTTTCCATTGAAATGTTATTGGTAATCCAAAAATAATGAAGTAAAACTACTGGTGCTTTAGCACAAATTGAGGTAGTGACACCAAACTATATTAGCAGTTATTGTATTCTTTTATACTATGCACTTACATTGAAAAAAAAAAGGCAGCCTGGAGGCAGAGCAAAATAGCTGAATTAAAAACCTCTACTGATTGTCCTCTCTGTGGCAACACCAAATTGAACAACTAACCACACAATAAAGCACCTTCATAGTAACCAAAAGTCAGGTGAAGAGTCACAGTATCTGGGTTTAATTTCATATCACTGAAAGAGGCGCAGAAGAGAGTAGGAATTGAATTGCTGCTTCCCCACCCCCTGGCAGTGGCCCCTTCCCCACCCCCTGGCAGTGGCCACATGGCACAGAAAGAGAATCTGTGTGGTTGTGGGAGGGAGAGCACGGTGATGGTGGAACTTTGCCTTGGAGCTCAGTGCTGCCCTGTCACAGTGGACAGCAATGTCAGGCAGAGCTCAGCGGGCACCCACTAAGGGTGGGTGCATTTATACCAGCCCTAGCCAAAGGGGAATTGCCTGTCCCAGTAGTTGAAACCTGAATTCCATCAAGCTTTGCACTGGATGCTCTGGGGTCCTAAAGAAGCTTGAAAGGCAGTTTGGGCCACAAGGCCTGCAATTCCTGGATAAGTCCTGGTGCTATGTTGGGATCGGAGCCAATGGACTTGGCAGGCACAAGACCTAGTGAAACACCAGCTGAGGCAGCCAAGGGAGTGCTGGTGCCATCCCCTTCCCCAATCCCAGGCAGTGCAGCTCTCAACTCTAGGAAAGACTCCTTCCCTCTACTTGAGGAGAGGAGAGGGAAGAGTAAGAAGAGTAAAGAGAACTTTGTTTTGCAAGTTGGATACCTGTTCAGCCACAGTAGGATAGGGTATTAGGCCAAATCCTGGGGCTGCCATTCTAGGCCCTTCCTCCTGGATAACGCTTAAAGCTACACCCTGGGCCAGAGAGATAACCTGCTTCCTTGAAGGGAAGGACCCAGTCCAGGCAGGATTCGCCACCTGTTGACTGAAGAGAATGTGGGCTCTGAATAATCAGCAGTGGTAGCCAGGCAATACTTGTTGTGGGCCTTGAGTGAGATACAGAGATGTGCTGGCTTCAGGTGAGACCCAGCACATTCCCAGCCAGGAAGTACCAGCTTGGCCACAGTGGGGTAGAACAGCAGGCGGGCTCTTTGCATCCCTGATTTCAGGTCTTGGCTCATGGATGGCATTTCTAGACCTGCCTTTGGCCAGAAGGGAGGCCACTGCCCTGAAGGGAGGGTCCCAGGTCTGGCAGCATTCACCACAAGCTGACGACTAAAGAGCCCTTGGGCGTTGAGTGAACGTAGCTAGGCAGTATTCACCATGGGCCTGGGGTGGTAGTGGTCACAGGGAGAGACTCTGCTGCTTATGGAAAGGGGAGGGAAGAGTGGGAATAGCCTTGTCTTGTGGCAAGAGCCACCGCTGAGTTACTGGGGTTTGGGTATCCCCTCATGAAGATATAGCTGCAGAGAGTAAAAATTTAAATTATAATACCCAAGTCCCTTCAAATACCTGGAAAGCCTTCCCAGGAAGGATGAGTACAAATAAGCCCAGACTGTGAAGACTACAATAAATCCACAGCTGTTCAATGCCTGGATACCAAGGACATCCATAAACATCAAGACCATCTTGGAAAACATGACCTCACCAAATGAAATACATAAAGCACCAGAAATTAGTATGGAGAACAGTGTGAAGCTTCCTCAAAAAAACTAAAAATAGAGCTACCACATTATTCAGCAATCCCACAGCTAGGTATATACCCCAAAGAAAGAAAATCAGTATATCAAAGAGATGCCTGCACTTCCATTTTTATTGTAGTAATATTCCCCAATAACCAAGATTTCAAAGCAACTTAAATGTCCATCAGCAGATGCATAGATAGAGAAATTGTGACACATGACATAAGAATAAGATTCTGTCATTTGCAACAACATGAATGAAACTGGAAGTCAATATATTAAATGAAATAACCGAGGTACAGAAAGGCAAACTTGGCATGTTCTCACCTATTTCTGGAGCTAAAAATCAAAACAATTGGACTCATGGAGACAGAGTAGAATGATGGTTATCAAAAGCTGAAAAGGGTAGTGGGGGTGAAATGGGGATGATTAATGTGTACACAAATGTAGTTAAATTGAATAAGATAGACGATTTAATAGCACAAGAGGATGGCTACTGTCAACAATAATATATTGTGCATTAAAAATAACTTTAAAAAGTATAATTGGATTGTCTGTAACACAAAGTAAGGATGAATGCTTGAGGTGATGAATATTCCATTTGCCCTGATGTGATTATTATGCTTATAACAAAAGATCTTATATACCCCAGAAATATATGCACCTACTATGTATCCATGAAAATTAAAAATAAAACTCATGTTAGTATAGAAGAATACCTTCGATGAAGGAATAAAATTATTAATCTTATTAAATTTTGAATCTTGTATATTATACTGTGTGAAGAAATAAGAAACTCACGTGAAATATTTCCATTGCAAACCAAGCATGATGGCTGTCTTGAGAGAAAGCACTTTGGCAATTGTTGAGACTGTAAGCAGAACTAACTGCTTTTTTCACTGAAGACATTGACACCTGAAATAAATGACAGACAAATCATGGTTATTTAGACATGGGCATTACATTTCCTTTTAAATAAATGAAGTGTTCTTGTTACTTCAAGAGACATGACTAACCGCCTTTGTTGCCAATGAAAAAATTCAAGCATCAGTTGAATAACAGTTTTAGAATTTTGGAAAAACTTGTATCTGCTAATCAGAGCTTGGTGGCTTGCCAATGCTTATGGTATTTTTTTATTCTTTTTTATTTTTATGGAAATGCGTATGTTAACATGTAATGAGTTTATTATTGTTATTTTAAAACAAATTAATAAGTATCCTTTATGTTTCTTAACTTTAAGTATAGAACATATTGAAAGATGTTTATTTCCCACAAGTAAATGGTCTTTGGGGTCTTCTTTTTAAGTATAGAAATCTATATTAAGAGCAAAAGAGGTTGAAAATAGCAGTTGAGAGATACTTTTGTCCTTTGAATAAACTCTTGAAGAGGCATTTTGCTATCCATCTTTTTTCCATCATTTCTGAACTTCTCCATCAGAGGTCTGTTTCTCTGTGCATGTCTCTCTCTCTCTGTCTTTCTCTCTCTGTGTGTCTGCCTCTCTCTGTCTCTTTCTATCATGAGCATTTGGGTAAAGAAAATATCTTTGAACAGTTAAATTAGTGGCAATGTTTCTAAAAAATAAAGAGTTTCCACTGGGCTAGGAGATTTTCTATATTATCTGGTATATAGTTCCTCAAATAATTTCCTTTTTTTATGAACTTAATTTTATATTTTCGGTGACTCTACATGCAGGACTGTAAAATAGGAAAACAAGTATCTTATACCTGTATGTCATTAGAAAGGCAGAAAGACTAAATGGGAAAGAAACAGTCAAAGAAGATAGAACCTACTACCCAAGATGCAAATGCAAATGCCAGGGTTCATTCTATTTTTGTAAAGCCTAGATGTGTCCATTTTCCCTGAAATATCTATTCGATGTTATGCTGGTTACAGATGTTGCCACAATTACCGCTGACAGTGTGGCTTTACAGAGACTTAGTGACAGGATGATTACTTGTGCAGAAGAGTCACTGGAGCCCACATACGTGAACAGAATGACACAGACCCACACACTGAGATTCTCAGCAAGTCACTAGCGATGACCATTATACTTTCTAAGTGATATCAATAATGCTGTCTGATCAGCCAACCACAGTATATATTATAGGGAGAGGGCTCTGGGGGCTGTTTTGATAGAAAGGGAGATTTGGGCCACTTTGAAACTATTCCACTTGGAGGAGGCTATCATTTTATTTTTGCCACATGTAGAATTCTGCTGTGAGTTTTAAGCCACCAATTCCCTTCTCTATCTGGGTGTCATTTCCTTTTGTGTAATTTGATAGGATTGGATTCCTTAGTAGTTTTCAACCAGTGAAATCTTACCAGTGAAACCTCAATAAACAAAACAGAGAAGTAGAGCTGCCTGTTTAATGCCAGTTTAATGAAAAGATGAGGAAATTTTACATCTCCCTTTGGGTCCCTACTGAGTTTCTCCTGCTCAGCTTCTGAAGTATGGCCGTGGACCCTGAGGCTTTGGGTTACACTGTTTGAGAATGATTAGATTAAGCACTCTTTAGGTCCATGTGCTTCTAGAGGCTTTGTCAGAAATCTGAGTAATTTCTCTTAATTAGAGATCTAGTTGGTATAAAGTTCAGAAATACATATGTGTGTGTGTATTATATATATAAGTGTGTGTTTGTGTGTGTTTATCTGTATTATGTTGGGGTGTGTGTGTGTGTGTGTGTGTATGTGTGTGTGTATGTATCCTATTGGTTCTGTTTCTCTGAAGAACCCTGGCTAATGGCTAATACAATAAACATATACTAGATGATCTGGGTGACCTTCGTATAAATGAATTTGAGCACATGATGCCTGGTTATAGTGACCCTGTTTGCCTAGAACTTTCCCAGTTTTAGCACTGCAAGTCCCACATTTCAGGGAATTCCTCTGAATTCAGGACAGTGGTTACCCTGAATTACAGCCACCTAGGAGACACTCAAGAGGGTATATAGACCCCTAGGAATCTGCAGGCCCCAGTTAAAGCTACACATGTAAGTTTATGTAGGAAACAGAGTCCTGCTCTGAAAATCAAGAAAACTAGTTTCATATTCACTAGAAGTGAGATCTTGGGTAAAGGGTTTAAATAAAGTCAGTGGTTATTTGCAAAAACATGAATAAGTGACTGTGCATGTAGAGTTGCCCATTTCCCCTGTATTTATGTTCCTTGCTATGATTCCATAAAGCCAGTTCAATAGTAGGCATTGGTTGTTTAGTTAAGCAAAATCAGTTGCTTTCAGCTTCACTATTGCTAATTATATGCCAGTAGTAGTTTATTTTAAATATTTAAGTTTAAAATACACAATAAATCTAATCAATAATTCATTCAAATAATGAATATAAAACATATTAGCATTATGCAATGTTCACTTAAAAATATTTTATTTAGCCTTTGCATGTTTTATTTAGAAATATTGATCATTTTTATTAGAATTGATGTAAAAGATACCATGAGTATTGGGAATTAAGGGAAAAAAATCAAATTAATACATATAACCTGCTCAGAAGAACTGGATCATGAATTCTAGAACTAGTGAGTCTATTTTAAATGTTTGTAGCAGGTACAATGCAATATTTGTAAAACTGTAACAAAAGTGATATGGGAGTGCTGGGAAGGGAAGAGCCTGGTCCCCTTAAATGCTACCAAAGTGGGGAAGGGAAGTGCTGGATAGAGAAGGGTGTTGTCCTTGGGTAGGGCCCTGCCCCCACAGACCTAGGTGAGGACAGGCATTTCCTGCCCAAGTGTTGCATTTCCCAAGTCCACCCTGGCCTGCCATGCCCCCATCCTGTTCCTATAAAAACCCGAGACCCTAACAAAGCAGAGACCCTAGCAAGGAGATGCTGGATGGCAAGAGGAACACATTGGCGGAAGAAAACAAGCAGGTGGACAATGAGAGGACGTCAAGAAGAGCATGGGCAGACTGGTAGGCCATCCACTGGTGGAACAAGGCAGAGTTTGCCTGCAGCAGTCAGAGGACAGCCGGGTCTACTCCAGGGGAAAACCTTCCCGTTCCATCCCCTTCTAATTTCCTCCGTGTGATGAGAGCTACCTCCACTCATTAAAACCTTTCACTCATTCTCCAAGCCGAGGTGTGATCCAATTCTTCTGGTACACCAAGGGAAGAACCCAGGATATAGAAAGCCCTCTGTTGTTGAGATAAGGCAGGGGTCTAATTGAGCTAACACAAGCTGCCTACAGAAGGCTAAACGAAAAGAGCACACTGTAACAAACATCCACTGGGGCTTCAGGAGCTGTAACATTCACCCCTAGACACTGCTGTGGGGTCGGAGCCCCACGGCCTGCCCGTCTGTATGCTCCCCTAGAGGTCTGAGCAGCAGGGCACTGAAGAAGTGAGCGGCACCCCAATCACATGCCCTGCAAGGCGGACACAAAAGCATTGACACAAATGGGGTGAACTCAGAGTCTGTTGAAAAAAGGATGGGCTTAAGAGTCAAAAGGCATGGATTTCAGTCTTGCTTGGCTTTGTTGCTTAACAGCAATGTGACCTCAGGCAAGTTATGCTTCAGTTTCTTTGTCTGCCTTCATAGTTTCTTTATCTGCCTTCATCACTTCTGTTCAAAGAGGTTTTGGAAGGGTTAAGTAAGATACTGAATATATAAATAATCAGGGACAGTGCAGTGATCTGTGGTGAGCAGGAGGAGGCCTGAGGAGGAAAGGGTAGTGAAAGGCAGATCCAGGGGCACCTTCCACAAACAGTGGATGCTCTAGAGAGATGTGCAACTGTCTGTAGCACCAAGAGCCAGGGCTCTGCTGGGGGCGACTTCCTTGTTTGTTTGAACAGCCTTTTTCTCCTGCCCTCTGCTCTCCTGACAGTGCTTTTCTTCAGCCAAGCCAGAGGACCATGGACTCTGTTGGTGTAGCCCAGAGGCATGAGTCTCCCAAGACATGGTAAAGGCTCGAGGGTCAATTTGGAGGAAAAAACGGAAAACAGGAGGGACAGCAATAGAATCTGCTTATACTATAAAATTGCATGCAGGTAAGTATGAAAATAAACTGCCGTACTCTAGAAGTTAGGTTGGAGTGTTTTTATTAACTTAAGCATATTCCTACCATATGTACGAGTCCGTTTTCATGCTGCTGATAAAGACATACCCAGGACTGGGTAATTTATAAAGAAAAGGAGGTTTAACAGACTTACAGTTCCATGTGGCTGGGAAGGCCTCACAATCATGGTAGAAGGGTAAAAGGCACGTCTTATGTGGTGGCAGGGAAGAGAGAAAATGAGAGCCAAGTGGAAGTTTTCCCTTATAAAACCATCAGATCTCATGAAACTACCATGGGAACAGTGTGGGGGAACCACCTCCATGATTCAATTAACTCCCCCTGGGTCCCTCCCACAACATGTGGGAATTATTGGAGCTACAATTCAAGATGAGATTTTGGTGGGAACACAGCCAAAATTACCACACAATCCAGTAATCCATTTCTGGATACTTATTCTGGATAAAAATGAAAACTTACACTACTACAAAAATCTGTTTATAGGACTGCCTGTAGCACCTTTATTCATAATCGTTCCATAATAGAAACTCCTCAGATGTCAGGTGAATGAACAAACAACAGTGGTATATCCATATAATAGGACACTATTCAGTGGTAAGACGAATGAACTATTAAAACTACAGCAGCATGGATGCACCTCAGAGGTGTTATGTTGAGTGAAAGAAGCCAGTCTGAAAAAGTTGCATAGGGAATGGTTTCATTTCTATAACATTCTTGAAAATACACAACTATAATGATGGGGACAGGTGGGGGTGGGTGGAGATGGTACAATTGTTCTGTGTATTGATTGTGACAGTGGTTACACAAATCTAGACATGTGTTGAAACTCATAGAACTGTATACCAAAGGTCGATTTTATAATATGTTAATTTAAAGGTCAAAGTAAATATTTGAGAAATATTGAAGATGGAAGGTGCAATAATAAATTTATTCTTATAAACATATTGACCATTTGTTAATCCCAAGTTTGACCTTGAAGAAATTTCAATATAAATTGAAATAAGAGTTCTATATGCAGAAATGCCTGAAAATAGGACATTATGTAAGAGAGGCAGCCTTGGCATGGGGCAGCAGATGCAGGGAGGAGATGTGTATAACAGGATGAGATGGAACAGGCTGTGTAACCTAGCCAAGGGGCCGGAGGATCAGAAAGTAATTGTCCCCACATAGACGTAAAGGTCAGGGTCAAGTACAAGGGTCTGAGAACAGAAACCAAAAGCAGAAGTTCAGGCATAGAGTCAAGAACACATGCTGGAGATGAAAAATCAGACTGTAGTTTGGCTGCATCACAGAGCTCAAGGCAAGAGACCATCCAGCTCTTGGCGTCAGGTTACTAAGGAGTGAAGTAGAACAAGGATAAATCAGATAGAGGCATCGTGTGGGGTTCAGGGCAAAGGCACTGCAGTGAGACACAACTGGATGGGATTTGTGGTTCTGCCACCTCCTGGCTCACGACCTGGGATAAACATTTTACCCTCTCATGAACACAACTGGATAAGAACACTTCCCCCTCCGAGTGCAGTGCTGGAAAAATTAAATGGAGTCACATTTGTAGTACTCTCAGCCAGTCGTGGACTCTAGAGGAAGTGCTCAGATATATAAAAGTATATTAAATAAAAGGCCACAGGTCACATCAGGACGACAGAGCTCTTAAGCTGTATATTTGGCAAGTCATTTCACCTTAAGTCTCAACTTGTAAATATATAAAATGGGTCTAACAACACCTACTCCATGGAATTTGGGAAAGAAAGTTTTGTGGGGATAAGAGCTATGACAATGCTTTGTGAACTGGGAATTTCTGTTTAACTGTATTTAAGATTAGAGTAGGCCAGGAAAAAGAAATCTTTTCTTGTTGCTTAGTTGTTGGCCTGAAGACACAGACAGCATTACCTGGAGGTCTGGGTTGGTGCTAAAGCCGTGTGGGGCCAAACATAGAGAACAGGTTGAAAAGAGTCCAACCGTGACATGCCAAACAACCTTGTTCATGGGTAGGAGATGATGTCATATCAACATGACGATGAGAACTCACCTTTGAAGGTTGTAGGCAGGTCCCAGGGAAGTGAGATGGTTAGCAGCATGAGTTCTGGAGTCAGAACTTTCTGTAGGAACTTAGGTCAGTAGTACAGAGAAATCTACTGTTGAAGATTCTTAATTATGACCCTTCTCCCCACCCCAATACACATCCACAATAAGATTATTCATTTATACCCTTAGTCATGTAACTTTCAATACTTACCAGTAGATAGACAGATTCTTTGTCTTCATCTTACTGACTGTAGTTTGTTCAGTGACTTGTTTTGGACAACGATAGGTTACCAGATATAACAATGGGATAGGCTATAAATATGCTTGATGGGTTAGCTTGGCCTCATGCCACCCATGATGAATGCTACTGCCACTAGTCAGGAGAAGATTTTGCCCCAAGTAGCTGCTGTACCTTCAGCTTAGGTTACAAATGAATGACACATGGAAGATAACTGAACCCAATCAATAGCCTAAATCAGAGTGAGCTCAACCCTCCAGCTGATCCTTTTAGTGAGAAATAAATGTTGATTACTGGAAGTTGTTGAGATTTTTGAGGTCATTTGTTATGTGATATTATTACAACAATAACTGACAGCACAGAAAGTTCCTTAACTTTAGTTATTCTCAAGTTTTGTTCTTTTAAAAATAAAATTAATTATGCCCATCACCTAGTAGGACAATTATCAGGAATAAAGGAGGTGATACATGCTGAGTACTTAACACAGTACCCAATACCAAGCAAGAAGAGAATACATGAAAATTACTGCTAGAAGACAGAGAATGGGTTAGTTTGCAAATTCTGAAAAGTGTACAGTTTGCTAAGTTTCTGCTCTCTCATCTGTGAAATGCATGTGCCACCTATCTCTAAGGGATGCTGTTAGGGTGACACAAAGAGATGGATACAAGATTAGGTTGTGAAGGGCTTTGCATGGTTTAAGAATTATTATTTTTCTACCAGAGAGAATACTCTTACCAAATATTATTTATCACCATCCCTGAAGCTAAAAGGTTATGGAGGAGAGTGAGACAAAAGACATCATTGATGACAGCCTGTACTAATAAACTGAACTTATTAAAATTAGTCCCTATGCAAGGGTCCCTCTTTATTCCTTGCTCTTCACAGCATCAGTATCCTTGCAGGTTGCTCCTCAATGTCTGATAACACAGTTCAAGTATATTGCAATTTGATTGCAAAAGGAAACTGCATATCTTGGAAAAGAGGCAGGGTTTGCCAAGATGAAAGGGATGATGGAATATTTCTCTAATCACATGCAAAGTAATTGACAAATGAGGATCTGACAGAATTAGACCATTAATAACTGAAGAAGAGAAAATCGACAAGAATGATGACACGATAGGCTTTAAAAGAGAATGGGTTCTCTTTTGGGAAAACTGATGAAACCTCCATTTTTTCTGAAAAGGTGTTTATGTTGTGCAGTGAAATGCTAACACATCACAGTTTCTTTGAAAACTGGTCTTAAAACACTTAGGTGTTAATTTTAATAATTAGTAAATAATCGCAATATAGCCTGTGCTTCTATTAAATTTCAAATCATCTTATTTTCATACATTTTCATTTTTTTAATATAAAGTCTTAAATTTCTCTCTCCATTTTTCTAGGAAATTTTGGTTTCTATTTTTAGTGGCCTTTTTTCACCATCATTTTTTTTCTGTGTGTAACTGGGATCTTTTCTATTTATTATTTCCTTCTCTCTTTTAAATCCAGAGAACTACTTCTTATTTAGAGATTTAGGAACTGGGGCTTTTTGTGGATTCATAAAGGGAGGAAAACCTATGCCCAAGGTCCAGTAGACTGCCCTGGCCATTGGGGGTGAATGATATGCTTGGCCAAATGAACTTTTGAAAACCCTAGAGTGTGGGGTGTAAGACGTAGCTGCGAGGCAACATGATTCCTTAGACCAATCCTCTTCCTCACTTCTGTCTGACTTCAGCCAGGCAGTATAACTTTGAGTCTTCTTCTCCTCTGTAAAATGGGAACGATAATGTTTAACCTGCAGCACCTTTATGAGGACTGAATGGTATTATATACATTACAGTATGTTGGAAAACGTTTGCACAATAGATGCTCAAAAAACAGCTGTGATTATTTCTAATATAGCCATGGAATATTGAGAGAATATTCCACTAGGATATTTCCCCTGCTGCATTCTCTTCTCTAACTTCCTACCTCTTGAGCATCTTTAAGCATACTTCAGCATTACCCTCCAGACTCCCTCGTGTCCTCTGCCTGGCCACACAAGATGCTCATTCTGGGAAACAGTGTCTTGTGTTTAAGTTACTCTTCATTGGGTAGTGTAAAGAAAGATTTGCATTAATATCCCCCCAAAAACTTGGGCTCACTGAAGAGATGCTTGGCGTGAGAGGAGGAAGAAGGGCCTGATGGTGAGCACTGGTACAGGCACCCAGAAAGCAACTTTGCCTCCTCCATGACTTGTCTTGAACATTCCATGAGTTGACTTCATTTTTTTAAACAAACACTGCACCAAATAGACCCAGCGGGGAATCAAACCCTCAGAACATCCAGAGCTAGAATCAACCCACTAGTGTTAAATTTTGTCATCCATGGCAGGTACCTGACAATAACTGTGAATTAACTATTTTGTAGCTAAGGAAAATAAGGTTTATAGCTAAATTTGAGTAATTTGCCAGGGCTCTCACATGTAGCCAGAGTTGGAGGTGGGGTTGAAAGCCTGGGGAACCCTCCAACACGCCACTTACAAGTAAGCCCAAAGCTGTTCTATTGTGGGTCAAATGAGTGCTCTGCAGGAAACACCTTGAGTCTTTATCTCAGATAGATGGTGTGTGATAATGTTTATCAAAACACTTTCCATTCCTAATGTCAGTTTTCACCTTCAAATTGGTCCCTGAAATAGGTAAGGCAGAGGAAAGAATCTCATTTACCAATTAATTTATGTGATGCATGCAAGGTCACAATTTAGCTAGTGTCAGAGCCAAGACTAGAATTGAATACTCTGAACCTTTTCACTGTATTTTAAATCCGCAAATTCTCTTTCTCAGAACATTTTGTGTCTCAGGATCTCTGTGTTTTGTTCCTGTGGCAACCAGCTGTGAGATGATATACCTTCAGAACAGAGAGATGGAGCGAAACTTCATCCCATGGGAATGCATCTCCTTTTTGCTCCACAGAGCCCCATCCATCATTTTCGCATTGCAGAGACCCAGCTGATGCAGGCCCAGCAAGGGTGAGACTATACAAATATAATGAAAATCAGTCAGGGGCCAATTTTCCCTATCAAGAAGGGAATTGCATTTCTCAGACATGTGGGAAAAGAGAGGTTGATTACACATAACATTTTTCCACAAAGGGAGTAGCATAAGGGAGAACTCAAGCCATGTATGTTTTGAGAGGAAATTCTCCTGTGCTAAACACAGTCAAGTGCCATCTGTGCTTCTGACAGTTTCATCTGACTGCCTGTTTAGTTATGGGATTGCTGATGTGAGCAACTTGGAGGCACTTATTCGACCCATATTCCATTATCTCATGAATGTTACAAGAGTTTGAAGTTTTCAGAATAGAATGTGGAATGTGGAATCACCCAAGAGAAAATGGGATGTTGCATCCTACATTAGTTCATGTCATTGGATGTTAACAGAGATCAATAGTTTCTTTTGATGATGGTACCCTTGAGTATTGAATACTGATGCCTCTGGATAGCTGGGTGAGCTTTTCTGTCTGGGGGATAGTGAATGGGAAAAAAAATCAGCAAATTAGTGATTATAATCACTGGCCTATTCACCAGACAATACATGTGTGAGCTAGAGGATGGCCACAAAGAGATAACGATTTAACATCATTTTGTAGAAGTGGCATCAAGGATAAAAAGCTAATTATCTCAACCAACAATTGTATGGAAAAGGCACCGATAGTGTTATGATTTCAATATGGACCTGCAGTTTCAAAATCCAGCATTCTTTGTATTCTATTATGCTAGCTGTTATTCCCCTCAAACTCACCCTCATCATATTTACTTTTCATCATTATTTTCTTATAATTTTTTAAACAATTACTTTCATCATTCACTGCCTTTAGACCAAATTACTTTTATCATTTGCTCCAGAATTTTTTCAGTGATTATTTCTGGACCTGAAACACCACCAACTGAAAATTTTTTTAGTCTCTGTGGATTCCCCATTATCCAACAGCTCCCTGCATAGTGCTAAATAAGTGACCATGCCTCAGAGGTACATTTTTATTGATGGATTTGTTGGTTAACTGATTTCATTGTTAGTATAATCCCTGTGTTTCAGCTTTCTTATTTTTATTTTATTTTATTTTTGTTTTGAGACAGGGTCTCACTCTCTCATTCAGGCTAGAGTACAGCGGTGCTATCTCGGCTCACTGCAGCCTTCACCTCCTTGGTTCAAACAATTTTCCTGCCTCAGCCTACTGAGTAGCTGAGATTACAGGCACACACCACCATGCCCGGCTAATTTTTGTGGTTTTTTTTTTTTTAGTAGAGATGGAGTTTCACCATTTTGGCCAGGCTGATCTCAAACTCCTGACTTCAAGTGATCCACCTGCTTTGGCCTCCCATAGTACTGAGATTATAGGCATTCACCACTGCCCTGTGTTTGAACTTTCTAAAATTACTATGCACTTATCTAACTAATTAGTCATTAAACATTAGTTGTGTGCCTACCAGGGGGAGAGAGATTAATCTCAGTCCCTAAAGTCAATATGACATGTAGCATAATAGAATAATCTGAGAGAGAGAGAGAGAGAGAGAGAGAGAGGTATTGATTGAGATTGATTGAAAGGAATTGGCCCATGTGTTGAGGTGGCTGGCAAGTCCCAAATCTGTTGGGATTGGCCAGCAGGCTGGAGACCCAGGGAAGCCATGCAGTCTGAGTCCAAAGGCATTCTGCTGACAGAATTCATTTTTGCTTGGGGGAGGTTAGTCTAGTTCTATCACTGCCTTATTATGAAGGATAGGTAATCTGCTTTACTTAAAGCCTACTGATTTAAATCGCAATTGGATCCTCAAAACTCCACAGAAACATCTAGAGTAGTGTTTGACCACATATCTGGGTACTGTGTTCCAGCCAAACTGACACATTAAATTAACCATAGCAGACATCTTTTAATCACACAGGCTCTCCTGCTGGGCACAGATTTAAATCTCTAGAAAGAAACAGCACCTCTGTATCCTCCACTGACCCCTGCCATGAGCCCCTCACCACCAGAAAAAAGAAAACCATGTAAACACACAATTCCATGAGAATGAGTATATATTTATGTTTTAACATGAATACATCTCAAAAATAGAATAGTGAGCCAAGAAGTCTATGTCTATGTGTGTGAAGAGCTTGCATAAAGAGACATAGAGTATGATAGCCTTTATATAAAGTTTTAAAGCACACACAAATTAAAGTTTGTAGGTAACAAGAATAAAAGCACATATGTCAAAGTAAACCTCACCCTCAAGAAAGTAAATATCTCCATAGAAGAAGATGGGCAAATAGATAGCATAGAAGGAGTGCTGAGTGAAGCCTCAGCTATGCCTCTGGCAGTTCCTTTCTTTTTGTTTCCAAAGGGTCTGACACAATTAAGGCAAATATTAACATGAGAAAGTTAAATCAAAAAAAACATAACTGTGATTATTTCTAACATAGCCATTTTTAATATAGCCTAACGCCTATTCTGTTAGACAGTAGGTGCAAGGGTGTTCATTTTATTATTTTGGGTGCATTTTATATGCTTGAAATATTTGGCAATGAAATTGTTAGAGTGTCTGCTTTTACTCCCAGGAGTCCCTGCCAAATGTAAGGTGTGCGATCCTTCCTCTGTACCGGCTGCTTCATTTGCCAAGGCCTCAAACACACAAGAGTTACAGTGTGTGTTCAGAAATAGGGTGGGAAGGAGGGGTGCAGCTTTTTATCAGAGGAAAATTCCATCAGGCTCTGTGTACTAATCTATTCCTGCGTGTGAGCCCCGTCTATTTAGTGCTCAGCAGTCATTCCAACAGGGACATGCTATGTAAATGTTCTGCGGAAAAAGCTAAGAATACATAAGTAGTTAATCCAAGTGTCTTCCTTCTGAAGCCATCTAAAAATCTAGACAAATGGCTGCTAAATATCAAGATGGAAACACTACATTTAATAAGCACAGTATTGTATAAATAATTTGTTAAATTACTGATATGACCAACTAAACTAGGGGATATGGAATTAGTTTTAATTCTATTAGTCATGATTCCATGCCCATGGAATTATGGGAGTTACACAGTCTACAGATTAGAAATGTGCCATTTTCTTTGTACTAGATTAGTATGCTCATCTTTCTAACCACCCTGATGTGAATCTTGTATTCCTCATACATAAAGTAGGTATGGAAAAAAACAACACTTTAGATTGGCAAGGTTAAAAAGTGAATTTTGTTTTTGGGTACAATCTACAAATTTTGATTCATCACTCGGATAAACAAAAGTGTTTGCATGCCTCGAAGACAGAGAGGAAGGGATCTGCTTCAGATGCAAATAAACAATACTCAGATGAAATTCTAATGAAAGGCAGACAGTTCCCCTGGTACACTTCTTTAGCTACATAAAGTAGCAAACAGCGTATATTTAAAAGCCCTGAAGATATCCACTGATCGTTTTAGGGGCAAGTAGCAGTTTATCAAGTAGCAAATAAAGGTTGATTTTAATCGTGTTGTGCATGAACTTGAAGGCTGTTAATAAGTAAAGAAATATTAACTACTTAAAATAATATGGATAACCATCTAATATTCATGTATTTAATAACTATTTATTGAGTACTTACTATGTGCCAGATACTGTTAGGTATTAATGATCAGATCGTCAGGAGAAACCTACAGGGTTGAACCTGCCGAGATGAGGCTTGCATAGTCACAAAACCAATACAAAATTGAATCTCTCAAAAGTGCTATGGAGGAGAGAGAAACTGAGCTTATAATTGTGGAGCTGATCAGGGAGGTCAGGGAAGGTTTCTCTGAGGAAATGATGTATCAAATGCAACTTCAGGTCATGAGAGAATAGACCAGAGTGGCAAGAGCATATGCTTAGTCAACAGCTATTTATTGAGCATCTATTATGTGACAGGCACTTTGCTGATTGATAGGGATACATCTGCAAGATGGACAAAGGCACCTGTCCTTGAAAAGCTTATATTTGGAAAACAGGGGGTCAATCAAAAACATAATTAAGTTCCATAGTTTAATAAATGATATGAAAAAGGGGGAAGTGGGCAAGGAGGATCATGAGTGTCTCAGGTTGGGGTGAGTCACTTTGAATAGAAGGATCAAGTCAGGCCTCATGACATGGGTGACAGTTGAGTGATGGGGTTAGCTCTATAGATTCCTGAAGGGAGGTATTTCAGGCAGAGGGAACCAGCAGTTTCAAAGGTGAGGGTACGGTTGGCATGTTCGGGAATGGAAGGAGGCCAGTGTGGCTGGAGCAGAACAGATGATGGGGAGAGAAGTCAGAGATAAAGCCTGAGAGGCACGCCTGGGGCATTAGATCATGTAGGCCTTAGGGCCATGCTGGGCTTTGGCTTCTACTCTGACAGAGTGAGGCAGCCCTAGAGGGCCTTGAGCAGCTGAGACATGATCTGACTTCTGTTTTTTTTTTTTTGAGATGGAGTTTCACTCTTGTTACCCAGGCTGGAGTGCAATGGCGCCATCTTGGCTCACTGCAACCTCCGCCTCCTGGGTTCAGTCAATTCTCCTCCCTCAGCCTCCTGAGTAGCTGGGATTACAGACACATACCACCATGCCCAGCTAATTTTTTGTATTTTTAGTAGAGATGGGATTTCACCATGTTGACCAGGATGGTCTCGATCTCTTGACCTCGTGATCCACCCGCCTTGGCCTCCCAAAGTGCTGAGATTACAGGCTTGAGCCACCGCGTCCGACCTTGACTTCTGTTTTAAAAGGACCTCTCTGAGTGTTGTAAACTAAAATTCAAATTGAAAGCCCCTCACTGACTGAGTAGACCTCCTCTTGCTCAAAAGGACCCCAGAGAAAACTTAAAAACTTAATTCTTGGCCATGACAGGATGAAAGGTCGAATACACCTCATTATACTCCCTCCTTTGTGAAATTTAAGTATCACAACTGATTGGCATTAATGTTAAAGTAGAGGCAATAAGACTAACAAAATGGGCTGGGCACAGTGGCTCATGCCTGTAATCCCAGCACTTTGGGAAGCTAACACAGGTGGTGCTCACTTAAGGTCAGGTGTTCTAGACGAGCCTGAGCAACATGGCAAAACCCTGTCTCTACTAAAAATACAAAACTTAGCTGGGCTTGGTGATGAGCGCCTGTAATCCCACCTACTCAGGTGGCTGAGGCAGGAGAATTGCTTGAAACCAGAAGGCGGAGGTTGCAGTGAGTCAAGATCATGCCACTGCACTCCAGCCTGGGCGACAGAGTGAGATTCTGTCTCAAACAACAACAACAAAAGAAACTAACAAAACAGACTCTTGATGACAAGAAGATAGAGGACCTGAGGCCATGCCAGACAAAGGTTAAATCACACACCCTCCCTGGTCACCCTGACCCAGTATTTTGGTTAACAGACTTCTTTATCTTAACTTAAAACCTTCCTTTCTGCTCACTCCAAATTTTCAGATAAAAGTTTACTCCTTTAACCCCAATTGCAAACTAAAGAATCTCTGGATACACCTATAAGCTGTATACCCCACTTTAAGGTATCACACCTTTCCTGGAAGAGAGAATGTATTCTTTCCAGGTATGGATTTCTGTCTTTGGCTGCATCCGCTGTCTCCCTGGATTATATAAAAACAAATTATAACCCAACTGCCTGAGACACACTCTTCCAGGACCTCTTGAGATTGTGTTCCCTGGGCCATGGTTGCTCATATTGGCTTAGAATGAATCTATTGAAAATTTTTACAGAGTTTGTTTTTTCCTGTTACCATTACTACAAACAGAGGGGTATGGAATGAAGATGAAGCCAAGACCACAAGAAGATTAAGGCAGTGATTCACAGGGAGATGGCCATGGCCTGGGCCAGGGAGAGGCAGCAGTGTAGGTAGGGAGAATGGGAATCTTTCAGCTACACTGTGACGGGGAGGCAGCAAGATTAGCGGGTGGACAGTGGTTAGGGACAGTCAGACATTACTTCAAGATTTCCAGCTGGAGCAGCCAGAAAGTTGGAGTTGCCACTGACTGATTCAAGGAAGCGTCCAGGAAAGCAAGTTGGGGAAGGAATTGGATCAGGGTTCATTTCTGGAGATGCTGTGACAAGATTTCTATCATATGTGCAAGTGGAGACGCCAAGGATGTAGTTGTGGGGAGAAAATTTGAAGGAGAATATGTACAAATCTTTTGGGAAGTTTCATGGTCAATGAGAGCAGAGAAGTAAAGCTGAGGCTAACGAGAAGTGAGATCAAGAGGAAGTCTTGTTTTGTTTTGAACTTGGGAAAAGCAGCAGCAGGTTTGTGTGCAGATGGTAATGAGTGTGGTGCATAACGACCCTGGGTGTGCAGGGGGAGGCCAGTAATATTGGCCCCAGTAAGACATTCTAAGATATTGGGGTTTTTATTAGAGAAGTGGGAAACCATTGAGATTTTAAGCAGAGCAATTTGACAAAAGCAGAATTACATTTTGAAGGGATCTCTCTGTCTGCAGAGAACAAATAGATTGGAAACTAGCCAAAAAGTAGCTGCAGGCAGAATACTGACACTTAATATGTGCCTAGGAATGTACTAAACATTTTATGTTTTCACTCATTTAATCCTTGCAACACACTTCTGAGGAGGGTTTCACTGACAAGTGAGGACACCGAGGCTCAGAGTGGTTTAGCAACTTGCCCGAAGTCAGCACACAGCTAGTTAATCAGTAAGAGAGCCAGAGTTAGAGCCCAGGCTGCTCAGTTCTGAGCCCTTGCCTCCTTGCAGCTACGTGCTCTGAGTTACAGACTCATGGAATTTTTACATTGGAAGGGCTCTTAGAAACTGCCTAACCTAGCCCCCAGGTAAACGGAATTTGAGGTATTTAGAAACAATATCTTGCAGATGGAATCATAGTTTAAATGCACCAGGGGTGGTTGCTATTTAAAGTCCTATTCTGGAAATCCTTTGTAAAGTCAAGAATCCTTTTGTAAAGCAAATAATCCACTCTCCAATTTAGCTTGGGAGAAAATGCTGTTCTTCAAACATCAGGTAAATCTATAAAACTAAAAAGTGCCAGAGGATGTTCTTATTATTCAGGGAGAGCAGTTGCCGTGAGGCTGTTTGAAGAGATGTGGGAAGAGTTGACTGCTTAGGACCCAAGGAGTGGGGTTGTTGATTCTGTGTAATGACCACTAATTTCTAGATGAATTAGATAAGGAATTCAAAGGTTTCTAATTATGTCACCACTAAGGATTCTTAGAACCCACTTTGTGAACCTGTGAGTTACTGTGGAGGACATAACATTACTGCCTCCCAATATTGTTTTCTCCATTCAAAAACTGTTCCTGCTTCAACCCCTCCTTATCAGGTGATTCTGGTGGAACTGTCAATCACAAGGCTTTACCTGCCCCCTAGTTCTTGGATTGGACACATCACTAGTTCTGGCCAATCAGAACCTCTCTAGACTGTCACCTAAGCAAACTTTCTCTGGATTATGAGCTGTAAGAACAAAGCAAATGTGAGGCTACAAACAGTTAACATGTGTGGCATGGAAAGAGCTTTTATGAGAAAAAAATCTAGGCAGAGGCAAATGAACCAAAAATGAAAAATTAAAGCAAAGCTCTGGTGACATTGAAGTTCTAGACCTGAATCCAGCAAGATTATCACCTTGAGATTTTCCAGTTTCATTAAGCAGCAAATTCTCTGTTGCTCTATGCTTCAGGTCTAACCTGTGAAAGGTGGATAATACTACTACCTACCTTGTAGCATGTAGCAAGGACTACATTAAATAATGCATGCAAAACAAAGTGAAGAAACTTATCAGGTAGCTATTGCTGCATTACAAACTATTTATTACACCCCCAAATTTAGTGTTAAAAGAATTGTTCATTGAGATCACAATTCTGTGGATTGTCTGGCTGTTTGGGTTGGGTCCTGTTTGGTGGTTATTCTCATCTCAGCTCCGCTTACTCATGCATCTTGGTCAGTTTCTGAGATGGCTTAGTTCACCTCCATGTGGTCACACATCCTTCAGCAGGCTTGCCCACAACCTTTTGGTGGCTAGATACAGTTTTAAGAGGAAGAGTGGAAGGCCCCTTGAGGCCTAGGCTTGTAACTAGCACAGTGTCTTTTCTGTGCATTCTAGTGACCAAAGCAAATCATAAAGTAGACTCTACCTCTACATGGGAGAAGCTGCAGTCCAACTGTGAATGATCACGGCTACCTTTTTCCATCTGCTACATTAAGTGTTCAATAAATCTCACTATATGTTGCTGACATTATTATTGTTTGTTAAACTGCTTTATTTTCTATTACTTGCTACAGACATTATTACCCTTGCTACTAGACTTTTTAAAAGTTTAGCTCAGGGGCTAGGTGTGGTGGCTCATGCCTATAATCCCAGCACTTTGGGAGGCTGAGGCAGGTGGATCACTTGAGGCCAGGAGTTCAAGACCAGCCAGGGGCAGATGACAAAACCATGTCTCTACAAAAAAAACAACAAAAATAGCCAAGGGTAGTGATGCATGCCAATAGTCCCAAATGCTAGAGTGGCTGAGGAAGGAGAATCACCTGAGCCCAGGAGGCAGAGATTGCAGTGAGCCAAGATCATGTCATTGCACTCCAGCTTGGGCGGGCAATAGAGCAAGACTCTACCTCAAACAAAAACAAAAACAAACAAACAAGAAAAGGTTTAGCTCAGGGATCACCTAGCGACTTTTCCTGGACTTCTCTTTGAAACCAATTACAAGTTAATTACAGTTAACTTCTAAAAATATATAGTTTGCCTCCTAAAATATGTCAAGTGACACCATGTATGTCATTAGCAGAATATTACAAAAGCAAAAAACTGTAATTTCTTATCTTGTAAGTAATATTTTATCTGCTCAGCAAGACCTTGGAAATTACGAGGCTTTAATGATCTATCTAGTTTACACACTCTGTTATTTGTTTGCAAGTTCTCTTCAATGGGTTCCATTTTGTAATTATTTGTGTTTTTTCCTTGGTTGATTTATCTTTAATTGTGTTAAATTTGAGGGGAAAAATATTGAGATCATTCAATTGTTCTTATGAGGCCATAATACTTATTATTTTCAGGAATAAATACATTGTAGATTTTTATGCTCATTAATTTTTGATTGTAGAGAACATTAAATTATGCAAGGTATGCAGCAAATACATTTAAATTCATTACATAAATTCCATCAAGAGTATTAATACTGATTTGATTATTTTCATTATTATGCCACTAAAGGTATTACCAAATTACAGTTTCTTCCATTTCTGAATTCAGCTGAGGGTTAGCATAAGCCTTTCTTTTTTATTATTGTAAAGACAAACAATATGAAAAGGATGTGGCTTTTAATTTTTTTGTAGGGAGGTGGTGATTTTACTCTAGAGTGAGAGATATGTATAGTGCATTTGTGATATCAAAATATCAAAAGCAAATATCAGTAATTTCCCAAAGTAACCAGAAATAAACAAATGCCAACATTATCAGTCAACAATTATGGAATGCCTATGGTATGCCTCAGAATAAACATCACAATTAGTCAGTTTTGAAAACACATTATTGTGTCTATAAGTAATAGTAATATTATCATCCAACATTAGCAGACACCTTTTTGTTTTCACTGGATTGAATATTACCTTTTTTATATTGGATTAAATACCAATATTAGCAATTGATACTGAGCACCAATTCTGAACACTGGTCTGTGTATTAATTAAATACTGGATAACACATTAACCTAAAATTTGGAACAATAATTAATTATCTCTTACTGTGTGTGTGTGTGTGTGTGTGTGTGTGTGTGTGGTGTTCAGCAAGAGCATAGCTGTGTCACTCTGACTCACAGTATCTCATGAGATTGCAGTCATTTGTTATCCAGGATTGCAATCATTTGTTATCCAGGATTGCAGTCATCAGAAGGTTTGACTGGGGATGGAGATCCAATTCCAATGTGGCTGACTCACATGACTGACAAATTGATGGTAGATCTCAGTTCCTCTTCACATGGGTCTGTCCACACATCATGGCTCTTAACCTCTCGACACAGTGGTTAGCTTCTCCGATGAGCCATCCCAAAGGCCAAGGCAGAGGCCATAATGCCTTTCATGACATAACCTTGGCAGCCACACATCATTACTGGTACTGTATTCTATTTGTTACATCAGTCATCCCTGATTCAAGGTGGAAACAGAGCTCAAAATGGTGTGAAAACAAGGAATCAAGGATCATTTGTGACTATTTTGGGATCTGGCAGCTATTGACTATTATCAAGGGACAATAGAATACCTACTAAGGCCAGCTTTATCAATCAACAGAGATTGAGTACATTTTTATTTTGTATCTGTTAGGTATGTTATACCCCATGCATAGCCATGAAGCCATTGACTTATATCTCCAGGGCTCCTTTATGCCAGCAATGGCTGGAGTCCTTTTCTATAATAGTAACAAATCTCTTGCTATCTTCCCCAAAAGAATCCAGACCTTTTATGATTTGATTATAATTATAATTTAAGATACCACACTTGTGGTATCTTTCCCACAAATATTTGGAGTCAAATAACCTTTTCAGAACCTTCTCAAAGTATAAACATACTTTTTAAGAAAAATATATTCATAGACCATTTTGCATATAGTTTTAGTAGACTCAGGAGCACTCCTCCCCTTATTATTAATACTTATTTAGAGGGAGTTAAGGTTTTGTTTTGCTTTTTTCCTAGAAGAGGGTAAAAGGCAGTCTATATATTAATTAGAGAAAAATTTATGCAGGAATCAGAATTTATTCATGTGGTCTGATTTCTAAATAGCCAAGAGTAATTATTTCCCTAAAAAAATTACAATCGTTAACTTGTCTCTCAAAAATACAATAAATGTGACTTCAATTGACACTCTCAAAATTTCTCATAATCTTTTTATATGATTTTATATGATTCTTAGTTCTTCTTAGTTCTTTTTCTTTTCTTCTTTTTTTTTTTTTTTTTTGAGCAGGAGTTTCACTCTTGTTACCCAGGCTGGAGTGCAATGGCATGATCTCAGCTCAACGCAACCTCCACCTCCTGGGTTCAGGCAATTCTCCTGCCTCAGCCTCCTGAGTAGCTGGGATTACAGGCATGCACCACCATGCCCAGCTAATTTTTTGTATTTTTAATAGAGACGGGGTTTCACCATGTTGACCAGGATGGTCTTGATCTCTTGACCTTGTGATCCACCCACCTTGGCCTCCCAAAGTGCTGGGATTACAGGCTTGAGCCACCGTGCCTGGCCTAGTTCTTCTTATTTCTTATTCTGAACCCCTCTGATTTTTGCTCTCAGCCTACACGCAATTTTCTCTTTCATCACCCCTTTCTCTGCAAGGGTTCTCTTATGTAGAGGGACCCAATCTTTCTTAGTCTTAGACTTTCCTGCCTCTATATCCTTCTTAATTTTGTGTCTTTCTGCCCATCCTCTAACTGTAAACTGACAAATTTAATAATCAGTTGGGTGTGATGGCCTCTTCTGAAGAGTGGGAGCACTCCCAGGTGTAGAGAGGGATAAGGAGAGTGAGTGGTGCATATGGTATTGCTATTTTTTTTAATTGCTTCTGATAGAGGGGGAGACCTAGGAATTAATATATTTTTTTTACCTCTGCATAACTTTCATTGATCATCAATTGATCTGACAGAAAAATCTTCAAAACACTATATTTTTAGAGAATTTTGCCTTATCTGAGTCTTCTGAAGAGTAGATGAGTCACATAACCTAAGTTTCAGGGAGACATATATAAGAAGCTAACAGGATAATTTTCTGATTTCAGTGTTCCCCAACCAGAGGCGTATGAATATCCAGCCCTGAAAGCTGAAACAAGTTTTGTGCCAGAACAGTTCATTATATTCTGTTTTTTTTTTTTTTTTTTTTTTTTCAGGAATGGAAGATATCAACAGTAAGAGTCTCTTTGTTGTCTTGGTATGGATACTTTTGGTTATCTTGATAAATTATCATTTTGTCTGCTTCTTTATGTATTATTTTTATAATTATTTATGTTATAGTAAGAATGTGACAAAAAAACAACAACAAAAGATTGACTTCAACTCTCAATCTATATTAAAAGCTCCATTAATTAGGCAACCTTTGGAATGGAAATAAGCAAAATCCCTTTATCAATTGTGTCATATATATGGAAGGACTAGGTGCATTAATTAACTGTATTTGGAGGTTAACATCAGATGATAGTTTATTTTTTCAAATTCCAATCCTTTTTGTTATTTTTTTTTTGAGACAAGGTCTCTGTCACCCAGGTTCTGCCTCCTGGGTTCAAGTGATTCTCCTGTCTCAGTCTCCTGAGTAGCTGGGATTACAGATGTATGCCACCATGCTCAGCTAATTTTTGTATTTTTAGTGGAGATCGTGTTTTACCAGGTTGGCCAGGCTGGTCTCGACTTTCTGACTTCACGTCATCAACCTGCCTTGGTATCTCAAAGTACTGGGGTGCCCAGCCATCAAATTCCAATCTTTTAAGGATAAAGAATACACTTGATCATTTTGGAAAGTGGGTGGAATTTTAAGATGGCCCCCAAGATTCCCATGTAATTCCCAAGACTGCATCTATGATGGGTTTTATATTGTCATTAGGTTAGTTATGTGAAACCGTTAAAATTAAGAAAATGAGATTATCTTAGGTAGACTTAACCTATTTAGATGACCTGGGCTCTTCCTGAAGAGAGAGATTTAAAATGCAAAAGCGATTCCATGTGAAGTCTTTATTATTGGCTTGAAGATGGAGGAGGCCACATGACAAAGGCCTAAGGGTGGCCTCAGGAGCTGTGAGTGCCCCTTGGCCAGCATCAAGGAAACAGAGACCTTAGTCCTATAACCGCAAGGAACTGAATTCTGTGACAATCACTGGAGAAGGATCTTGAACTTCAGTTAAGAATGTGTTAGCCAGTGCCTTGATTTTAGCCCATGTGTATCTGAGCAGAGAATCCAGCCATGGTGTACCCTACCTTCTGATCTACAAGCTGTGAAATAATGCATTAGCATTGGTTTAAGCCACTGAGTTTGTGGTGATTTATTATGGAGCAATAGAAAATGAATAGAAGACCTCACCCATTTTCTGTTGACATTTGCGGCAGACGAAACCACAGGAGGAGAGGCAATGTAAGTGGCAATCAAGAGCTCTAATTCCAGAATCCTAGACCCAGGTTTGTGGTTCAGTTCTACCCAATTACAAACTATATGCATTCTGCCAAATGCAAAACCTCAGTTTTCTCACCTGCACAAAGAAAAATCATTATTGGTTTCTCTTAGAATTGTTGAGAGGCTTATATGATATAATAAAAGTAAAGAACTAAGAATTGTGGCTGGCCCATGTAAGAGCTATAAGTGTTAACTATGATTATCTGGGGAAAAAAGGACTAGAACATTGATTTTGAGAGCTTGAAAATAGGAGGGCTCATTAATCAACCAATAATCATATACTTTTGGCAGTTTAACGATATATTAGTATTTTTTAATCCCATGTAATCATCATTACCCCATGAAGAAGATATTATTAACATTATTTCTTTTCAACCTTTTGTTTTGAAATAATTATAGGCTCACATAAAGTTGCAAAAATAATACAAAGAGGCCCCATATACCCTTCCTTCAGCTAAAGATGACATCTTACATCACTGTAGCACATTATCAAAACTAGGAAACGGACATTGGTACAATACAGTTATCTAGACTACAGACCTTATTCACCTTACTCAAGTCTCACTGGTAATGACTTCATTTTGCAGATGAGAAAACAGGTTTACCTCAACTGCTGATTTCAATTGCCCCTTGAAAGTTGTGGTCAAATTACGTGGATTTATGTTATGAAATGTTTATCTCTGTTGCCTATTTGTGCTTTGTGACAGATGAGTGTGGAAAAATGTAGCACCACTTGACCACTCTAATGAAAACTCAACTGTACTTAAAATTCCAAAATTTTATTTCTGACAAGAAACATGTATTTTTTTCAGGGAAAGAAAGATTATATTTTTGATCTTGACCGTGTGAGGGCAAGCTGACATTGGATGTTGACAAGATCACAATAACCCAGATAGATGCACAACAATTGGTGCCCTGGTACCAAATTCCAGTGCCCATAAATATCTGCAAAATAGTCTCAATTTTTTTTAGTTATCACCAAAGGCAGGGATTCTCATATGAAAGAAAGCTGAAAGTAACCTAGGAATCAATTCCTTAAGATCTAGGTAAAACTGGCTTGAATCTCTGCCAGTTAGTCTGTGGGAGTTTTTAAGATTTCAGTGAGTTCTTTGAAGGGATTATATCCCCTTCCCCTGGTTTGCCTCTAGGAATTTTATTCTGACATAGTATAATTTTATATTAATAAATATAGTATTTATTATATATAATCTCTTACATACATAAAATCGTGATTATATATATAATATATGTAATATATAATACATATGTACTATATATGGAATAAATATATATATACAATAAACCTATTTTTAATACATATATAATAAATATATACTTCCTATATATGTGCGTGCATGTGTGTGTATATGTGTGTGTGTGTGTGTGTGTGTGTGTGTGTGTGTGTGTTTTGTCCACAGTTTCTCGTTCATAACTCTCATAGCCCTCGTTACAGCCTTTTGTTATAATGTTGGGGCGCATTAGGTCTCAGGAGCAGGCCTTAGAAAAACATAATCTCTCTTTCTCCTTTTCTCCTTTTACCTGCTCAAGGCAGGACTCTAATTTGATTGTTGGTTCAAAGACTCTCATTCCAGAGGGGATCCTGCCCCAGACCCTAGAGGAAAGAAGGCTACATAGAGAGGTCAAGAAAAGTCTGAACACACAAGCCTTGCTGGGTTTAGATCACGTGCTTTTTGTTCAATCACATTTCCACATGTTTGTCAATCATTCCTATGTAATGAAGCCTCCACAAAAATCCAAGAGGACCAGGTTGAAAGCTTCTGAGGAATTGAACAGGGGAGGTTTCTAGAGGGTGGAGTGCCTAGAGAGGGTATGGAAGCTCCGTGTCCTTTCCTCTATAACTCACCTGAGTTGTCTCTTTATCTCTATCCTCTGTATCTCTATCCTTTTAAATAAACCAGTAAACCTAAGTAAATGTTTCTCTGAGTTCTTTGAGTCTCTGCAGCAAATTAATTGAGCCCAAAGAGAAGTTGGGGGCACCCCACCTTGAACCTGGTTGGTCAGAAGTTCCAGAGGCCTGGACTTTCAACTGATGTCTAAAGAGAGGGCAGCTTTGGGGACTGATATGAGACCATCTCCATGTAGGTAAGATTTGAATTGAATTGGAGAACATCCAGCTGGTGTTGCTCTTTGGTGTATGGGAAATCTTCCACACCTTTGGTCAAAAATGTCTTCTTTGTTGATGATTGCTGTGATTGTGTGAGAGCAGAGGAAACACAGTTTGAGAGTGTTTCCTTAAATCACATTCCCACATGTAGTTTTCTATGCTTCTCTGTATAATTGAATCTAAAACTTCTTGAATTCCATGAAAACTCTATCAGCCTCAAGTATTTTGAGAACTGTAGGCTTAATGGAAGGTGTTAGAGGGATAGTGAAGTCTACGTTCCATACTTGCACACAAAACAACTTCAATTTTAGATATTAGGATTTCTCTTCCCTACGATCCTTTGGAGCCATGCTCCTGCCAGGTGGCTCTCTCAGCATGCCTCTTGGTGCCCAGCCTTGCAACTGCCTTCTCCATTTCCCCTTCTCACTCATCTCCCCTGCCCTTGGGAGAAAACTATGCTCCTTCCCTTTTTTATTTACCCTCCTCAGACATTCTGTTCTGAAATTCTTAGGCTTACAGCACTTACTTAAGTAATTATAAGTGATTTCTCCAGCAATTTAAGTTCTCTCCCTAAGATGACATCTGATGCCAGGTGTTAAAAGGACATGTTGTGTTGCTATTAGTTACTATTAATTTTATTATGCATTAGTTATTCAGTTAACTACTTAACTTTCTAATACCTTTCATTCTTTAGATTATTTTGAAGCCCCTGAAGGTCATTTGTCATCTTTTCACTTTCCTAGTTTTGTATCAGGTTGTTCTGCAGCAGGGTTACTGGGGACGTTGTATATTTTATTAATAAGTAAACCAACCTTTGCTGCGTCTTAAGTGAATGGCTCCCCTTGTATTCAAAAGCTACGGATTCAACTCTTAAGATAAATAGAGGATAAACTTGGCACATACCTTTACAAATGATGCAAGTCCAGTTTAGAGCTGCAGACTTAACGGGGGCACTAGCCACTGAAAAATTCCCAAGTGATGATTTCTCTTAGAATCCCATTTACTTCAATTTTAGATATCAGTTAACCCTCCAGTCCTGTGTTCCTTTCTACCTGTTGAGCCCACTGTGCCTCAAGCCTAACACCAAGTTTCTCATAGAGTGAGCACCCAGCAAATACTCATTAAGTGTAGAATGGAAGAAAGTATATGTTGTCGCAAATAGACTGAATTAATAAGCTCTTGAGGAACAGTAACATAGACATTCTTCTATTTCTTCTCTCCTATATTAACTCCTATGTGGTATAAGTAACTGATCAGCTGGTCTCTTGGAAAGCAAGGCTGTAATGTGAGTTGAACATTTGTAACATATTTGTTGTTATGACAGGGAGGAACCAGTAGTGGGTTCAATCACTCGAGGAAAACACTACACCCCTTAATATTGTTTGCATCATGATAGTATCTGGAGAGCAGCTGGCACTTACCCTTTGCATTCCAACCACACATTCTTGGGAAAAAAATCTTCCTTTCCTCCCACTCGTAAAGGCCTTTTAGTAAGTCTCACCCAGCACCAAGAGTGGGTGGCACGCGTATGCCAGCTATGTCTACTGTCACTTCTTATCCGCTCAGTGTTGTCATGTTTGATGGGAAGCCCTGGCTATGATGGACATAGCTTCGAGGCTTGTGTTGACTGAAGTGACAAATAGTCTAATGTAATTAGTGTTTGACTGAGCACTGGGGATTCCTCATTGAAGAAGATTTTTTTTTCTTTTAATGCAAACCTTAAGTTGATCTTGGGGAAAGACACTGGATCACATTCAGGCTAGGTAGGTAAGTTGCTGCCATGTGGGGTAAGAAGTCTGGTGTGATAATTCTAGAAACCCCACTTTTTGTTTTTTTTGAGATGGAGTCTCACTCTGTTACCCGGGCTGGAGTATACTGGTGTGCTCTTGGCTGACTGCAGTGTCTGCCTCCCAGGTTTGAGCAACTCTTCTGTCTCAGCCTCCAAGTAGCTGGGATTACAGCTACGCACTAACATGCCCAGTTATTTAGTTATTTATTTTTGCATTTTTAGTAAAAATGGGGTTTCACCGTGTTGGCCAGTCTGGTCTCAAATTCCTGACCTCAACAACTCTACCCTCCTCGGCCTCCTGAAGTGCTGGGATTACAGGCGTGAGCCACGGTGTCTGACCTAGAAACCCCACTCTTAAAGGGTTTACAATACATAGTCACCTGGGCACTTCTGTATACATGGGTGTGGCTGGCCAGGGCTCCCATTATTTCAGAGTGGATATTAGTTGGTCTGCAAGGGACAGTTTCCCTCCTTTCCCCACTTTATTCATTTACTTATTTATTCATCCAGTAACATTTCTGCACTACTCCACACTCTCTGCACCAAGCACAATGCTAAGCACTGGAGGTACAACACTGGGAGGTACAGTCATGATTCCTGTCCTTTTGTTGTGTTTCATAATCCTGTTCTGTCTTCCAGAGATGATAAGCGCAATGAAGGAACCAATGCTGAGAATGTTATGGTGTACATATAACAACCATTTAACACATGTGAAGCATATGCAGCACAGCCTACAGTAGACTTCCAGGGATTACTGAGTTTTAAAAGACAAGGAATCAAGCAGGAGAATTACAGGAGGTTGGTGGAAGGCAGTGAGGAAGGAAGGACCTTCCAGATGGAGGGCACAGCATGAACAGAGATCCATGGAAGAGGAGCACCATGGGATGCTTGGTGTTATAAGCCATGTGGAGATGCTGAATGAGGCAGAGTAGTAAGAGATGAGACTGGATGGAATGGAGGGGCCAGGCCATGGAGAGCCTTGTAGGTCAGGCTTAGAAGTATGGTCTTTACCTTGAAGTCTATCTTCATGTCTTTATCTTGAAGTCTGTGGGGAGCCAGGATTAAATGAATTGGCCCCAGACCTCATTCTCTAACATGCCCATCAGACATGTTAGGTAATCTAGTGTCCTAACTCCCTTGGCTCACTCTGGTCTCGTTGGTCTTCTCTATGGCACTGGGGATTTTTCACTGGTCAGAGGTTGCTGACACTATCTGTTGCTCAAAACTCTCAATCTTGCAGTGTTATAGCTCCCCAGCCCCACCAGAGCCAGGCCTGTGGGCTTGCAGCTTCTGTTTCCATTTCAAAGCTGGATGTTTATAACCTACTGACTTTATCCAGCCTCTACAATGCTCCAGAAGAGTTCTGTGGGCTCTAAATTCTAGTTTTTTGTTCTGAGAAAACAGTGAAATCTTCATCTCTTAGTATTTTTGCCCCTGGGGGTGTGTCTGTGTTTTCCATACTGGAAAATGAAATGAACCCATGTTTTGTGAGCATGTACTATGTGCCTGGCATGGTGCTGAGCATGTTCATACATGTTATCTTATTTAATCCTCCCAATCAAGGAGATGTTTCATTATTTCACATTCATAAAACAACTGAGGACCAGAAAGGTCAGGTGAGTTCTTCAAGGACCCACAGCTAGTGAGTAATGAAGGTGGATTGAGCCCTGTCCAGCCTCACTTTCTGAGAAGACTGTAGGGGAGAGTCTGGGCGTGGGGAGAGAGGTTGGGGCTAGTGCACTAGACCTAAGCAGTTATTAGCAGAAAAATAAATGCATTATCTAGTAGCTGGGTGAAAAACTGTTTTATCTCTTTTGTTAACCTTGGTACACTGGTAGTGGTCATCTGGAGAATGTGGCTCAGAAATAGTACTGAGATTGATTAGCTACATGTGGCACAGGTGGAGATAGATAGTATCTACCCAAATGCCATATATTTGACCTTAGTGTATCGATAGGAAGGGTGTTACCACAGTGACACTTGACAGGGGTACAGGGAACAGCCAGTTGGATTGCTATTAGGCCTGATTTCTGAGCTATACCCAACATTTCTCCTTTGCTTTTCAGGGTTGCATTTGCCAATTCTTCAACCACCTATTGATATACCAAAGGACCACATGCTTGTAAATTAGTCCAGCAAGTATCTTCATCTGGATATTTTTGAAGGAAACATATTTTAAGAAAACACATGCCTTCTGGTGCTCCATGCTTGATATAATTAGGTAATAAGCATTCAGCCCTGCCAAGCTTAATGTAAAAACCTTAATAATAGTGATTCTTCATGGATAACATACCCCCAATCCTATACGTTATCACCATTTGTGAGCCCCATTGCTATTATCTACTGGGCACCTTTTTCTCTTCTTCTTAACTGTATGTTTGGGGAGAGAGTTGTTCCACAACATTACAGGCTTGAAAGGCGCAGTCAGAACACTAATAAAGCCATCAACCCTCAGATGCCACCTTTTTGAAGTCTGAGCAAGGTGAGCAGTGCAGCTAACACCTTGTGCCTCCTCCTACATGTTTGCAATTAACATTTTATCTGCCCTACGTCTTAAGTCACAGCTTTGTCACCATTCCCTGGAGGCTGAAGAAGGACCTTAATTACAGAAGCAGTGCACTCAGCCACTGCCTGCTGTATTCTGATGTCACCACCTATGAGCTTCAAAGAGAGGTCAGGCTGATCCTAGGATGTCATGTGGCTCAAATCCAGTATTTTAATTTAGAGACTCAGTAAGTGGCTCCATCAATTAAGACCGGCTGTACTTGCAGCAGACCTGCCAGGCCACAGCCAGAGCTTTGATTCATTTCATTTCTTACTGACCCCATCACAGAGTGGAAGGATGGCCAACATTTCAATGGGTGGTGGAGAGCTGCCAGATTTAAAAGGAAGACTAATGATCGAGGAGGATTCTAAAGGGTAAGATTTGCTTTTGAAATGACAGCACATATGTCATGCTGCCTAAATGATGGTGCTTAGTGGGGGTCCAGGAAAAGAGACACACATTATTTCATAGTTTGTTAACAATTAATAAATCCCATCTCAGTGAATTAGCTCAGATCGGGTTTGGTTTTTGCTCAAGTTTAAGTTAACGACAAGTAAGTGGAAGTTCTTCTCCATTTGGTTTTTTAGGGGTCCAGCGTCTTTCCATCTTTTGACCCTGTCAGGTCTACACCATTTACTCCAAGTGAAAAAGAGATAATGGAGGAAAACGCGACCTGCAGGAGGGTGACGTTGGGGTTGACTCACTCTTCCTTTCAATCTCAGGTCAGGATTAATCTTGGAACCCAGGATAAGGTTGTGCCTGCAGAAGCATACATGTGGGTGAGGGAGCTGAAGTCAGAGGGAGGTGGAAGGAGCGAGGCTGCTCCAAGCATAATAACAGGAGTAGATTGTAGGAGTCAGGAGGGTCAAAACCTATCTCTTTTCTTTCCTAACTCCACAAGACCCTGCTCTCTGCCAGTAGGACAATGAGGCTATAATGAGCTCATTCCCTGTTCCCCAAATTTAAACCTTCTATTTCAGCAGATCATCCAGTTGACAGTGCTCAACTTCATGGAGGCAGGGAATGTAAGTCCTGTGGGGAAAGTTATTTTTGGCTTGGCAAAGCAAGCATCCTGAAGGCTTTTGTGTAGCTCTCAGCTCTACAAATAGTCCTTTGCAATCAATACCACACAATCAGATTCTTGTAAAGAGGTGCAGAGGCTAATAACTCACCCCTAATATTATTGGTCTTAGATGAAACATAATTTAGAATAAAGTATTGTTTTAGCAGAGACACCATAGCTGCTTAAAATGTGTACTGGTATCATTTACATTTGCTGCCTGGTTATTATCTTGGTTATGTACTAAGAAAGTGGCTAGCCGTCACCCCAGCTTTCTTCCATAGTAAATCATGAATAATTTTGTTAAGGTTTGTACTTTGAATTCAAACATAACTGGGCCATTATGGCCGGCTGCTGCCATAAACAGACATATGATTTGCATGTCTACATGAGCAAATTGGAGCTGCAAGTGAGGGCGGCTTCACATCAGTACGTTACTCTGCCTCCCTTCCATTGCACAGAATTAACAACTGCCAGGGAAATTGCTTCATAACTGAATGTCTAATCGAAGAGTTAGGACAGGATAATATACAGTTGCCAAAGTGAAGTTTGATATGGAACTTAAATCTTGTCTCTGGCTCCAGACATCGTGGTTGGAAATGCAAATTGTTCCTTAAGACTCACTCGCAAATGGAGGGAGCAGTTTCTGAGTTAATGGACACATGGGAATTTTCCCCTCCCACTGACAACTGAAGGTTCAGATTTGTTATCAAGTTATTGGGCCCAGGACTCCTCTCATTTTCCACAACTTTCACCCCCATCAGGGAAGCTGTGTTTGGATTCCATCAAGTTCTTAAACTTACGCTTCTATTAACTTTGAATGATTCTAGTGGAGCGTGTCACTGGTTGTGACAGGATTATTTATGAGTTAAATGATTCTGACTCAGTTAGAAAAGCACTCGAGCTTCTAGCCCTGGTGGAAACAAACAGAATTGACAGCATGGCTCCTCAGGGAAGCTCCTTGTTTATCATAACTTTCTTCACAGAAGCATTTCCTCAGAGATCTGACAGAAGACTCCAGGGAACTGGGCCTCAGGTGGCACTGGCTTGGCAGAGACCCCTTCTATGGGCATTGGTTATGGGTGGGATGAGGAGGAGTGTGTCTGTGTGGGGAGAGGGTTGTATTTTTTACCATTTGCTTCTTTTTCAGTAGCCAACTTTGACATCCCAGTGGGTACATACTTAAGGTATCTACAAGGCAGGAGACCCCCTACAAAATGTTCTTTGGAAAATTTTGATATGTGAATAAACATATCCAGGTAATCATTCGAGGAGAACCAGGAACTACCTTGGCTTCTCTGATACATCTCTGACTTATTACTTAAATTAGCGTTGCTTGGGTTGACATGTGCACCACCACTTTGCATTACTTGAGTCTCTGAGCATCTTATCAGGACCTAATCAATGGCCCAGCTTCATGTATGAATCAGCTGGGTGAGGCCAGGGAAAAAGAAAGGCAGGAGCAACCCATTTGTGGAGAGCACTGAATCGGAGCCCAGAGGCTAACACTGCAGTGGTTCTCTGTATAACACTCAGCCTATTTTAGGTAAAACCATAGCACTGTGAAAGGCAAAGTCCCCTGAACCAAGCGCCAGGGATGCTGGGTCTAATTTTTGTCTATGTCATCGGCTTGATATAAGACCTCAGGCTGTTCACTATTGGCTTGTGTAAATATAGCTCCTTTCTCATCTGCAACTTCATCCAATGTTCCTACCTTGTGGTAGGTATCTATGGAAAGGCAAACAATAAAAGCACTTCAAAAAGTGAGAAATGCTTGCTTTAATCTTCTTAAGAGTACAAGTTGGGCCCTCTGAAGCCAAATCCTACACTGCAGAAAATATATTAGAGTAAGGCTTTCATTCTTAGGCAATTTATTGGAAAAATATTTTTTAAATTCCTGGTTATATATAAATGATGTAATATCAGAATTGTACTATGTCAGAGCAATTTCTTCTGAAATGATTTAGGAGATAAGAACTAGGTAGACTGAATTACACCTGTTGTGTTTGCTCACTTGAGAAACACACACACACATGCAGAAACATACACACCCACATATACACACACACACACACACATATACACATTTTTTGAGAAGTTGTCTCATAGACTAATTGCAATTAATAGGACTCTGATCTCTTTCCCATTTAAACCACTGATTAATGTTGCAAGACAAATGCAAACTGGGGCTGTAACATAGTGACTAAGAGAAATAAATGATTTCAAGTCAACAGCATGACAAATGGTCAGGGCAAGCATCCACCCTCTGGTTATTACAACCTTTTATTATGATCTATCATTAAGCAACCTAGCATTTCATATAATGTAAAAGTTATTAATTTACTGGAAACAAGTGAGGGTGCTTAGGTCTTTCGCCTTCTCTGAAAATAAAATGGAAATTGATTAGGCAAACTTTTTGATTAATACCTGGATAACTTGTACCTTCCTTCTTCTTGTTATATACTGAAAACCAAACACATAATTGGACCCAGCAAAAAAACAAAAACAAATGAACAACAACAAAAAAAAAACTAGAGGAAAGTCCAGTCTATCTTGTACAGATCAGGATACTGTGGCCCTCTTAGAGGAGGTTGCAAACAAGAAATCTTGACCTGTATAGCTGAACTATGTGTCTGGCACATAATAGATGCTCAGTAAATGTTTGTTTGATGATGAATCTTTGGGATGAGGAGCTTTCAGAGCAGAATACAATCAAGTGGGAAAATAATGGACTTGGCCAGGGCTACACGGCTGCGACTGGGAGTAAAGACATCTGAGTTTAAGGCCCAAGTGATACCATAAATATCTTATATGAAGCATATCACTTCCTTTAGCCTATGTTTCTGCTATTTTCATTGTGAATAATACTTTCTGCTTTAGCTGAGTTAGTCCAGTGCTTTAGAGTAAATGAGAAAAGAGACATCAATGCACTTTGGAAAATGTCAACTAGTCTCCTCTATAGCTACTAAGCTTGTCTCATAGATGAATCAGCAAGATCAGCCTGTCTCTAAAGTAAGACTTAGGAAACAGCCAGAGACAGCTAAGTGAGCTATTCCACTGATGGCCAAAGTTAATGGCTGCTATTTATTTATTTCTCTTCAAATCTTCTGGTATGGGAATGAACTTATCTAGATCAGAGCTGTAGGATGGAAATCAGTCTAGGATATTTTGATAATTAGAGTGTATTTATTGTGAGCCTTTTAAGATAAAATGTTGGGCTAGAATAGAATTTCAATTTTCTAGGAGTTCAGAATCTAAGGTTTTCAGAATAATACTGCCTGGAGCACAGGACAATAATAATGAACTTATCAAAGAGAGAAAGGGCTAAGCCTTTGTGTTAAAAAGCTTTCAGTTTAGACCAGGCAAGTTGGCTCATGCCTGTAATCCCATGACTTAGGGCAGCTCAGGGAGGTGGATCACTCAAGCTCAGGAGTTTGAGACCAGCCCGGGCAACTTGGCAAAACCTCATCTCTACAAAAAAATACAAAAATTATCTGAGTATGGTGTGCACATCTTTGGTCCCAGCTGCTCAGGAGGCTAAGATGGGAGGATGACTTGAGCTCAGGAGGCAGAGGTTGGAGTGAGCAGAGATTATGCCAATGCACTCCAGCTTGGTTGACAGAACAAGACCCTTTCTTAAAAAAAAAAAAAAAATCTTAATTTTTAACAGTATGCTTACAGGTTTCTCTGTCTCCTTTACTCATACTTTAGAAATAAGAAATTAGCTTTGTTATATGAAAAGTCAAATTTGACAAAGACAGTTCATAGTGGGATGGATATTCATGTTTTTCTATTAGGCTAATATCCATGATGAACAAAAATCTTTAGTGAAATACTGGCAAACCAATTGCAACAGCACATCAAAAAGCTTATCCATCACCATCAAATAGTCTTCACCCAGGCATGCAAGTTTGGTTCAACATGTGTAAGTCTATGAACATAATTCACCACATAAACAGAAGCAAAGACAAAAAACACATGATTATCGCATTATGGTATTTTCTTTGTTTCAGTTGGTCATGTTATGACCATAACAGAATGCCCTAGTACAGAGTCCAGTCTCCTCTCCAAAGATAATGTCTTTATTTGAAAAGGAAAAGAATCTACTTGGCCGTTGTGCATGTGTATACTTTTTGCTAGGAATGGTTGTGGTACAGATGAGGACTTTCTTAAGATCAGATATAATTCTCAAAGTCTCATTCATTTCCACTGTCATTTTATCAGACTGGGACCTCTCACAGACAATCACTATAACTAATTGCAAGATGTCCATTTTTTCCAGGATGAGTTTTGAGTGATTCAAATATCAGGACTTAAAATTTAACCCTTGTTATATTATATATATTAATTACCTTTTATTAATGAAAGCAAATGTTTACTTCTCTCTCTCTCCCCGCTCTCCATGTGTGGAGGAAGTGGACTCTACCTGATATTATCTGGACTTTCCAAGGGTGCATATTTCCAAGAAGGAAGTATGGGTTCCTAAGGCCAATGTTTCTCAAATTGAGGTCCAAGCACTTCCTGCCTTAAATCAAATATGAGTCCAGTTAAAAATACAGATCCTTGGGGTCTATTGAAAACTTAATGAATTAGAATCACTAGGTTTGTAACTTCACAATCCAAATATACAACAGACTCCCCATATAATTCTTTTGCATGCTAATGTTTAAAAACCAGCACTATAAGCTTTAATGGAATCCCATGCATGTAGGGTCCCACGTTACAGAAGAAATTGGTGGTGGAGAAGCAGAGAGCATGCCCCTATAGACTAGAAGAGGAGGCTAGGGGAGGGTTTGTGCTTCTGGATAGCTACACAGAGGACTTTTGTTCCCTCTAAAAAGATCTCTTCTGCCAGTCTACTTGTCACTTTCTGGTCATTCTCCCATTTAGACAACCCTCATTTTGATTGGATGGCCCAATGGTGCAGGTGCTTCAGATATAGATGTGAGGTGAGGGAACAGATACATGAATACGATAATGCATCTTCCCTCTGATTTTAGCAGAGTATCCCTTTTGCTGAGATTTACCTTTCCTTCAATCTCGCCAAGGCTTTACAATTTGAACAATCTCTTGTTTGAAGAAGCACATCAACTGTTACTCTGCAACTTATGTTAATGGATGTGGGTGGGCTGCATCATGTGCTAAAATCCTACATTAGTTTTGGCACAGTACTCTTGACTCTCTCATTTAACACAAATCCATCAAAACCTCCTCTTTCCATCACCACTTACCCCATAGTGAGTTAAGGAAGAGTCCTTCTCCCTCTAATAATGTTTTGAATCATTTTTATTCCCAACTCAGAAGGTGTGCCGCTTGATTACTCTGGTTGCTATAGCTACAGGTCAAATAATTTCCCTCCAGATCTGTCTTTTGGTGTTATATGTTCCCTATATGTTTGATCTGTAAGGGAGCTTTTCAGATATTCATCTAGTAGTTACCCCAAGGGAATAAAACATTACGACATCAAAATGGGTCATTCCTAAGCTTAGTTAAAAAACAAAACAAAACAAAAAAAAAAAACAAAATACTAGCATTCCTGATGATATATTTAGGAGAAAAATACTTTAAAAAATAAATTTTCCTGAATTCTTTTATTAGTTCTCTATGCTTTTCATCTTTCTTTGCCTAAATATTTTCAAGAACTTTTTTTTGTAATCTGTATGCTCAACTTTTATGTAATAAATCTTAATAAACCTCTTAAATATTTTCCCAAACTTCTCATCTACATTGACAGTTACACTGGCTTTATTTTAATTTTTCCTTCCCACTAAAGTCTTTCTTTTCTTTTTTTTTAAATAAGAGAATGCAGATTTTCCTTATAGGACTCTGTGATGTCCACCATTAACAAAATATTAGTTGTTTTTAAATTGTCGTGTTATTATTCTCTGCTTACTAGGGCAATCATGTGGCTTAATTTATTCAGAGGATCACTCAGAAATTCAGTTAGAAACGGTGATTGGTCAGTGGTCTTCTTTTATATCTGATTCAATCTGGTACTAATATGTTGTTTCAAAAACATACCAGTTCCAAAGAGAATTCTTACCTTGCAGGATTCCAACTCACTCAACAAACACAACTTTAGGGTGTCGTCTGAATTGGCATTACTATGTCAATCTTCCCACAGGGCACTGGCTATTGTGTGATTTAGCTACTCGCCTGTTTTGGAAGATTTCCAGCTTTATTTTTCTTGTTTCTTTTAAGTGACTTTTTTAAACAAAATCACCCACAGATTTGAAAAGAAAAGACAAAATGAATGGCAAATGTATGGGAAATTTTGGCTTGACCTAGTATGGAGGAGAATTTGTTACTATCCTGGCCAGTTTGGAGTTTTTTTAAGAAGGTATTTCAGCAAAAGTACAATTAAAATATTAGTGCAGTCATTTGAAAACAACCAAATTTTTTAAAGCTTACTTTGTATCTTTATGGATTTACCTATTCATGCACATGGGTAAAGTTAGGCTGACAGACTTGTCAAACTATGAAAGGCATGAGGTATAAGGCTTTTAATGCTTGATGAAGCAGAAACTGCATGAACAAATCCACTCCTGGGATTTGTAAATGAATGCATTAAATGCCTTGAATATTTAATTCACTTGTTCCCAATAATATTTGTTGACATGGAAGATAATAAAGTGTAATGACTCCTAACCTCTTAATGAGAATAATTCTTAAGAGCTGTCAATAATATGGAAAGTTTTAGAAAAAGGTTGGTTTTTCAGCAGCTAATAATAGTGATGTCCTCCTCTTTAGAAGAAAAAATAACCTAGCATTTGTGTATTCCTTTGAAGCTCTAGTTTTAGACTTTAGTGAACTATCTTTTGCTCATTGTCTCTACTCCAGATTGCTTAGTGTCAGAATATTAACTGTGAAGACAAACACACAGATGCGATAAAGGAATTATATCTGAGAAAGTATGTAAAAAATTCAAGACACTTAAACACACCAAATGATTATCTCCAAATTAATGAATCTAACAACACAAGAAGTTGTCTCTCCAATCTGATTTTCTGACAACTCCTTTAAGGAATTCAACAATGGTCAGAGACCATAGCACTTGTCTATATAGAAAAACAAAACTGTGGTTGTAGAAGCCAATAACTGGATTTTCCTCATCAGTATAACTTCACAACAAAGAGAATTTATTTATTATTATTTAGTTAAAACTGGGAGAGAGCTAGAATCTTGGTCACATTTATTTGTTCAATAATATTGAACAAATATTATGAAGCCCCAGTGTAGTTGACGTTTTGATGCTCTTGGTGTCAGAGCTTTTGGAGAAACTTGATCTTGGTGGAGAATAAAATATAAGAATGAAGAAATCATTTGACTTGGGTTTCTCTGAGTTCCTGGCATGTCCTAAAACTCTCTGAATTGCCAGAAAAAGAGTAAATGACTTTGAGTGTATTTAATTTTTGTTCTATTTATTTAAAAATCGGAAATCTGAACAGGTGATAAATCTCTAATTAATCAAATCATTGCTTAGCCTGGAGAACTGCTATTGGACCTTGATGGATGACAGAGAATCTGTCTTTGTGTTATTGTTGTTTTGCCAAGGATCTGCTTGCAGCAGGTACTTCTCTGTACTTTCCTGTTTAGTAACATTTACAGTGTTTATTCAGTTGTTTTTCTTGAAGGGCTTCTCTTTTTTCCTTTTTTTTCGATGTGAGGAATTGTTGATCTTTTTTGTACACAGCATTAAATGAGGTCCCCATGCGGCTAAATGATCGGAGATTGAAAGGCTGGTCATTCAGCTGATTGGGAAAGAGCTGTGCAGCCAGGCTAGATTCTAAATTTTCCTTCAGAAATTTGTCCTCTGAAGGAATTGGAATTAGTCCCATGTAATTTGCAATGTCCTTAAATCTGTGCTTTCGATTCTGCATTATGTCAAGGTACACCATCTCTTAATAGTCCCTGAGATGAGAGAGATGATTATATCTTAGAGAAACCCTTTATAAATTATTTGGGTAAGTAAAGAGAAATAGAGAAAACAACAACATATTTTGCTTGTAGCCTTTGAAATCTATATCCAGAAAGTAGTCTTTAAAATCTGTATTATTTTATTGCAGTATCATAAATTTCTCTGAGTTCTATATTACTCTGAAAGTACCAATCTGTTATAATGTTATGTATTATCACAAGGATTCAGATACACTCAGGTCAAATTATGGCTGCTAAAACTACCTCCACAGAAAGATCTTGGGTATTAACTTGGAAATAAATTTGTTCTTTTTCTTATTTTCAGAATTATCCAAGGGAAACAAAGAGGGTCTCTATTTTTAAAATAGAACACTCCTTGTGTCTTATCATATTTATCTAAATAGATGGGTATAGTGATTTTAGAGCTTCACACCTTTCCAGAAAACATGAGAAGTAAATTCTGCCTGTTCTTGCTAGAACATTTATTTTTCAAGTCATGTTCTAACCAGGCTGCCATTATGGACATTAAATATACCAAAAACCCTTGGCTGATCAGAAGCATATTAATCTTACTTTGTTTATTAAAGATGTACGAAATGCTGAACATTTGCCAATTCTTAAAACATGCAATCAGGATTCAAGAAGACAGGGTTCCTTTCCTAGAAGAGCTTATAGTGGAGAATAAAATCAGCCTACAGTGAGAACAAAGTATTATAAGTGGGGATGATAACACAAGAACTACAAAAAGAGTCATCATACCCACTTGGTGAGAGTTGAGAAGAGAATGTCAAAAAAGGCTCGTTGAATGAAATGACATCTAAGGTGGGTAGCAAAGGGCAAACAAGATGCTTAACAAAATAGTAGAGCATAACAAAAGTTTACCAGGTAAAAGAAAGAGCTATGGAAATAACCATATATGGGAGAATGTATGGAAAAATATAGTTGTTCAGCAAGATTGGAGAGTGAGTTGCCTTGAGGCAAGCAGATTGTTTCATTAACTAAACAATTTGACTTTATTCTTGGAACAATGGGAGGCTCCTGACAGGTGTTACGGTGGTTTGATAAAACTTGTGTCCTAGATCACTCTGTTTAGAATGGATGGACAGGAGCAGGATTGGAGGCAACAAGACTATTAAGAGGCAAGAGATGATGGTGGTCTATATTGCGACAGGATTAGATTGAATGTGAGGGGGCAGCTAAGTAAGATACCTAGGTGTGGGCTAGAATAGATGGATCAAGTTGCAGGGCCAGACTCCTTTTGGAAATATGATAGTAATGAGTTTTGAGTTTGAAGTTTTTATTTTCATTTTCAATAAATTACACAATTTTCCTTAAAGAAAAAGAATTAGTAAAGAGGTTCTTGCCAAATTAGATAATGCTTGCTTGAGAGAGAGAGAGAAGGAGAGAGAGCGCACATGTGCATGCATATGTGTGTATCTTAGTTGCAGACAATAATCCCAAGACATACATGCTTTAGGCAGAAGACAGAGGAGCACAGACCCAAAGCTTAGATGTTTAGAAAACTGTCTAGAAGGAGCTGCTGGAAGTCGAGGACCAGACTCTGGAGATGAGAGGAAAAGTACACCGCTTATGAGGATGGGACTGAGCCCTCCAGTAGCTTCATCCATTCCTCAGCAACTTTGGCTGCACTTCCCAGGCAAAAAGTCTAAGGAAAGGCTGGTAAATGTCTATGGTTTTAGCCCAACCACTGAAAGGTCAGAGATGTAAGTGTTGCCATCAATTGATAATATGTAATCTACCCCACATTAAGTGCTTCATGCACACTAATAATAGTAATAGTGTCATGAAGACTTCTCAGATGGGAAGGCACCTAAGTAAGATCTTGGAGAACAAGTGAAAAAGTTGCTAAGATTGGGAAGAAGGTATTACAGGCAGAGGAGCATTTTAAAGAACCACATTATTAATGATAAAAGGATTCTCCCTATATGCCAAGAAATTGTTTAAGTACAGGTTTAAAACATCACGAACAAAATAGACCTTCAGAAACAAACAAAGCTATTGGGCAAAATCAAAGTTACTAATACATTTATAAAAGATCATAGACATAATCTAACCCAGTGGTTCCCAGGAATAGTCTAGTGCAGTGAAAAGAGGCAGGCTTCTGGAGGTGGACTGGCTCCACAGGGACTCCAGCTCCCCACTTACTGGATGCAAACCCTCGGGCAAGTTTCTTAACATCTCTGGGTTTAGAATCCTTAGCTATAAAAGCAAGATAACAGCAGTACTGAGCTCACTTGGCAACTGCTCTCTACACATGAGCCACTATTGTTACGTTTTTATTATTCCTAAATACTCATCGAGGGATCAATTGGTTTGGGATCACTAGGAGAGGCTTTGTAAAATTGTTTTTGATTCTCCAACTACAGGATTTTTGGTTCAATAGATCAGAGGTAAAATACAGAAACATGAACTTTTAAAACACATGGGCGAGTCTGGGATCTAGGGCACATTGTAAATGAAGAAACTTGACCCAGAAGCTATTAAGTTACTTATCTGAGGTGACATAGGAAATAGAGACAGAGGCAGGTTCAAGAACCAGCTGCACTCACTGTTCTTGATTTCTCACTTCCTTCCCCATCCTCATCTTTCTAAGCTTTGGGGAGATACTTTCAGTTAAACAAAATTATTATATATGGAACATAGCAACTGTATTGAAGGAGCCATAGTAAAAAAGAAATCAATTTATACCCATCAGAAAAATATGAAGCTAGAGGGAATTTAATCCCAGGTGGTAGAAACACAGTTATATGTAAAACGTGGAAAAATTGTATCAGAAGATGCTCCGTAAGTGTACAATAAGCCCAGGCTCACTGGATAAATGTTTGTCATAACACTAAGTGAAGTATGGTAAGAACATATTGCTCTCTGATGAATACCCAATATGAAGGTGTTTTTCAATTAGAAATTCCTAACTAGAAATTGTCAGGCTACCCATCCTTGTTATAATATTTATTTCAAAAACCATTTATAAAATAGAGTATGAGTTGGTTTAGATTTTTATTTTATACATAAATTATGTTTATAAATACATATACATGTATACCTATCTCCATCTATTAATCTGTCTGTATGTATGTCTATGTCTATCTCTGTCTAGCTAGCTAGCTATTACAGCAAAAGTTAAAGCAAAATATTAAGAATTTCCTCCCCGCCTTCTTTCCTGAGGGGTTGTTTTTTGCTTTCCAGGGGGATTGGATTTCGAGTAATGCTTTTAACAAAGTTTCTGTTGATATTTTTCTGAATAAAATGGTAAGTACATATTACATACTACTTTTGTCAAGTATATATGAAACTATATGAACAGCTCTTCCTAAGAAATATTTCTGGTTTAGAATGGGCCTCTAGTTTCTGGCACATGGTAGAAACTTACAGAATGGTACTTGGGTGAGTGGGTAAATGAATGAGTAATCCAGTGAGTCAACTGAAATTATTGGAGGGAAGGTTAGTACTAAGAACTAGGATTGAAAGAAGGTAGCTCTGAGAACCTGGGTTGAAGGCATATATGAAACGCCTTCTCCAGGTTCTTCACCTCCATAGAATATATATCTGTGCTCAAAGATCATATTCCCAGGAAAGAGCCTCTGATGCTCACCCCAAGTTGACCACTTTGAATAATAGTCCCATCAAGTTTATATCCAATGGGGCTAAGTAGGTTTCCCAAAACCCTTGCTTCTCAGAAGAAAGGAGACAGTGGCTGGGAAGGCATCTGAAATCAAAATGCTTGGATTCAAATACCAGCTATGCCATTCATGAGCTGTATGACCTTGGGTGCTGAATCTCTCTGTTCCTCAATTTTCTCATTTGCAAAATAAGGGAAAGAATGCCTAACTTGAAGTGTGGTTTTGAAGAGTAAAAGCTTTAACATAAGCAAAGTGCTTATAGCAGATACTAGCACATAGCACAGGCTGAGCATCCTAAATCTGAAATGCTCCAAAATCGGAAACTTTTTGAGCACCGATATGTCACTCAAGAGTCATGATCAAATGATTTTGGATTCCCAGATTAGGGATGCTTAACTGTAAGTATATTGCAAATATTTTAAACTCTGGAAAAATCTGAAACCCAAAGCACTTCTGGTCCCACCTACTTCAGAGAAGGCCCACTCAGCGTATAGTGACAGCAACACAGACATAGTGTTCATTCGTCAGCAAGTACTGAGTTACCATTAAACCATCATAACCTTTTAAAAGTTAAAACAGTGAATTGTGCATTTATTCTTAGGAAAACCCTTATACTTTTGGATAGATTCCCAGCTCTGACCCTAGCAACATGAGTTGTCCCTAGGATCCTCTTAGTTTCTTCTAGTACCCCTCTAAGCTCCAGGCACAGGGCGGCTTTCCTCTTCCTCCAACATGGCAGTTGTTCAGCTTCTAGGTCTTGGTCCATGCTGTTCCCTCCAGCACCCTCACCCTCACCTCTAGGAACTGGTTCCTTCTCACCCTCAGGAGTCACCTCTTCCATGAGACCATCTCTGATCTAAGCAAGCTCAATCCCAGCTTCTCTATTTCAGGAGCACTTATTAGAAGGAAGAATTATCTAATTGAGTTTAATTTATCTCTGCCATCAAATACCCAGCTCTTTAAGTGCACTGAATCCTTTACCCAAGTACTGAGTAGCTGTCAATAAAAATGTTGAATGAATATTTCAGCAGGCATTAGGTGGCAGATTCCAAGGCCTGTCCCTAGGCTCCCATGTTACTCTCAAGTAGCTGCCCAGCCCTCTCTCATCCCATCTCCCTGTGCAGGCCCTGACCTTACCTTCTCCAGCTAGTGTCCCACATGGCAGCACAAGCCTGGCGCCCTGGCTGTGGTTCTCAATTCCTTGCAGTCTCCTGGTTCTTTGGGGTCCTGTTACTCTCCTAGTCCAAACCCTCTAAAGGCATCCTGGACCACTTACTATAATATTACAAGCACCCACGTAATCATATATCTTTCTGTTTCTTTCTTGTTCACTGTGCTCCAGCCAAAACGATCTTTTGTTTCTCAAACCTGCCAAACCTGCCACTTCTCAGGGCCTTTGAACTCCTTGCTCCATTTGGCCTGGAAGGCATGTCCCTCACATCATGCCCCACAGGCTCTTCCTCTTACGTTATCTTTCAGCTCAATGAAACCTTGCTGACCCAGATGGTGCCCAGAGATATTTATGTCAATCTATGCTGTTAACCTTTTTATCCCTTTATAATTCTTACCACCACAGTTGACCATGGAACAATGTGGGGGTTAGGGGTACTAACCTCTTGAACAATAAAAAATCTGAGTATAACTTTTGATTCTCTAAACTTGACTACTAATAACCTACTGTTGACTGGAAGCTTTACTAATAACATAAATAGTAGATTAATACATATTTTATATGCTATATGTATTATATACTGTATTTTTACAATAATCTATAGAAGAGAATGTTATTAAGAAAATCATCAGGAAGAAAAAATATATTTACTATTCCTTAAGTGGGCATGGATCATCATAAAAGTCTTTAACCTCATTGTCTTCACATTGAGAAGGCTGAGGAGGTAGAGGAAGAAGAAGAGCAGGTGCTGGTCTTGCTGTCTCTTGGGTGGCAGAGGTGAAGGAAAATCTGCTTATTAGTGGACCTGTGAAGTTTCAATTCATATTGTTTATGAGTCAACTGTGTTTGCAATCATTCTTTAAAAAAAATCTGCCTGTCTCCCTTTCTACCTGTTTCTTGTGTTAGAGTATAACATTGTTAGAGTAGAGAACTTTACCTCTCTTCTTACCCTTTGTTATATTCAAATGCCTGATGCAGTGCCTGGCACAGAATCAATGTTTAATAATATTTGCTGAATGAATAAAGGACAGAATGAGTGAATGAGTTCCCTTTTCTGTTCCTCCCTGGGATACAATGTCTCTCCCAAGAATTGTTGTTTGCTGAGTAGAGTTTGAGGTCCCCATCTAGAACCACAGACCCAGATACTCCTGATAAAGACGCTGTCACCACATTCTTGTTCAGGGACCCTCACTGGCTTTTGCTTCCCTTCCTTCCTGTCATTTCCTGGGTGGTGTCCTGATGCTTCAGGGTATCTCCTTAGTCCTCTGAACAAGCAATTTCCAGAGGCAGCCCTGTGTGGCTTGAGACACTGGGAGATCCAGTTTCAAATCCAGCCTCCTTCACATATGTATTCTGTGCTTGAACCAAGTCACTTTATTTCTCTGAGACTCAGCTTCCTTCACTGCAAATTGAGACTTTAGTGAGAAATAACAAATAGGTATTGCCATACAGTGTCACTGTGAGGATTAAATAAGATTGGTTTAGTCCAACAGTAAGGGCATGAAACAGTTTTGGCACTCTGGAAGTCAGCTATACGTTCAGTCTGACTTGTCCTCAAGTTCCTACATCAGTTCTGCACCATGAACTTTTGCCCTCCCTGGTACCACACCCTGGTCCCAGTCAAGGACCCAAACTTGGGCTGACCAATGAAAAATGGTCATAAAGCATTTTGAGTAATATCTATAGAGTGTGCAAAAACTAGAAACAAAGAAGCAGTTGACTCACAGGGCTTAGAGTTATAGTCCTGTGTCAAACTCATGAAAATACCTCAGAATTTCCTCTCATGACCTCCCTAGTGGGGCGTGGAGGAGAGACACTGATCAATCTGTGCCATCACAGAAGGCTGACATTGTATAGTGCCATCCCCATGTCTGGCAATGCATGTCAAGTTTCTGCAGAAATGTCCTATTAGGATTATATTTGCTTTCTGAAAACAAAACACACAGAAGGGAAAAGAACTTCCTTTATACTTAATAAGGCAACAAGTCAAATAATAAACATGGGTCTATTTATTTAGCAGCCAGTCCACAGGGAAGCTGAGACGTCCTGACACCTGGTCCCAGTCTTTTTCTAGAACAGAGAATACATACCCACATGCCTGGAACATCGGGTCTCACTTACTACCTTGAGTTTTACAAGTGAATGTTAAGTTACAGCCCCCTCGCCTTCTCTGTTCTGATGTAAGCACTGTATATGCTGATCCAACCATTTCAGGTCCCTGACTTTCTGCTACTAACTTCCTTTACTCACAATTTAGCCCTCACATCATTTAAAGTAAGTTTCTCACCACTTGTTTTTCTAGCAAGATCTTGAATGTAAGTTACAGACCCCTCTCAGGAGGTGGAAGCAAGTGTAGGAAAACAAAATAATAAACTATAGAGTGTAGGCATTAGGATTTGCAAAGGATGATAAGTGGTTATTACTTAGTGCATCTCTATTCATTAAGTGGAAATAAAATCCAGAAGTAAGTAAGCTATTGTTTAGAACCTAATAATGGCTCATCTTCCATACAGGATAAAGTCTTCAGAAAAGGTTGAGAGCATTTAGTAAAGCCATTTGCCTGTCACTGGTCTCCCTTTAATTCCTTGGTTATGAAGTAATGTCTTTCCAAATACCTAACAAAAAGAAATTAGAGAGACAAAGATGCATAACATAAATGAGAAATAAATTACACACATTCTGGAAACACAACTTAGTTGAGAATATCAGTGTCCTGTGCTAATGACTTTATTATGGGTAAAGAGCTTTATGATGAATACAAAGGACAGTCCTAAGTCATCATTGAATTTGAAAGTCTACTTTCTCTGCTGCCTCCAATGATTTTAAAAAATGTTCTACATCATGATGGAAAACCTTTTATTGTAAGCACTTCAAGTTAATGCATCATCAAACAAGTACATAAATTTCAAGTTTCAAAGTGGATAATTGCAAAACTTTTCTTCTGGTTGCTTACCCCTATCTTGATGGACAGCCCTTCTTCAAAATGATAACCTCCACTGTTTAGTTGGTTATTTTACTGTGGATTTCCTAAGTCCTAAAGATGTATATGTGTAGCAACATTGCTGTACTAGTTATTGTTGTTTAATGAATTGCTCTCTCCAAATTAGTGACTTAAACAAACCATTAGTCATTACCTCACAATTTCTGTGCATCAGGAACCTAGGCATGGCTTAGCTGAGTTCTCTGGCCACTAATGAGGTCTAATCAAGGTGCCTGCTGGGCTGCAGTCTCATTTTCAGGCTTGATTGGGGATGGATCTGCTTCTAAGTTTACTCAAGAGATTTTTGTCAGGAATCCATTCTTCATGGGCTTTTAACAGAGTGCCTGAGTTCTTCCCTGGCTGCCAGCAGAGGCCTCCTTTAGTTCTCTGCCACAGGGGCCTCTCCACAGGATCACTTGCAACATGTAGCTTGCATTGTCAGAGAGGGCAATCAAGATGATAAGATAGGGAATGTAAGCAAGATAAAAACAGTCTTTTCATATGTAACTTTGGAAATCCCAGTACTATTGCCACACTCTTGTTTGAATCAACTCACTAGATCCATCCATGCACACAGGGAAGGAATTACCCAAGGCAATGACTACCAGGATCCAGGGTTTATTGAGAGCCGTCTGGCAGGTTGCCTGCCACAAATGCCGAGGATAAAAATATGAAAGTATTATGAATCTATAATGTTTCTCTGGATGCAAAGCAACATTAAACCCCACAGCGATAGGCAATATATCATGATGTTTTATTACATAGACTACAGACTGGGGCTTAAATTCCAACTCTGAAAAGCACTAATTGTAAGAGCTTGGGCAGGTTATTTAATCTCTATTTGTAAAATGGAGATACTTTCTAACTCACAGGGAAGAATGATATGTTTTTCTACAGATTGCTTATTGCATAGTAAGTAGTTAATAGCAGTAATAGTTGTATTTTGTGTGACCTATGTAGGACATTAGGCAAATGAAAACAACAACAAAAAGAGCGTATCTCTGAATATTGGTTTAACTAAGAAATGCAATGTAACTATTCCAGAATGATACAGACAGGGACAGTGTGCATGTGTGTGCTTTGTGGGAACCATGTAAAAAAGGCAAATCGTCATTATTCTTTCCTTCTTTTTATTGAGAGAGAGTCTTACTCTGTCACCCGGACTGGAGTGCAATGGAGCAATCTGGGCTCACTGTAACCTTTACCTCCCAGGTTCAAGTGACTCTCGTGCCTCAGCTTCCTGAGTAGCTGGGACTACAGATGTGTACCACTACATCCAGCAAATTTTTCTATTTTAGTAGAGACAGATTTCACCAGGTTGACCAGGATGGTCTCAAACTCCCAACTTCAGGTGATCCACCCTCCTCGGCCTCCCAAAATGCTGGGACTACAGCTGTGAGCCACCATGCCTGGACTCATTTTTCATAATAAAAAGTAATAGAGGAATTTTAAAATTAATAAATAGCAGATAAATTTTTATGTAAAAATGTGGAAGTAACTTGTAGAAGTTCCAAGTGGTTGTCTCCAGGGAATGGATATCAGAGGTAGGAAGGGTTGGGTAAAAAATATTTCTTTAACATGTGTGCCACTTTAATTTTTAAACATTTTTAAAGCATTACTTTTGTAAAAAATAAAAATTAAATTGAAAAATAGGTATTTAAAACATTTTCAAAAGAAGACTCAACCATCTTTCAAATATAACAATTTCATTTTGCAAATTATTTTCCCAACTTTGTTCACGTATCTTTGTGTTATTACATATTTGCAGTCATGTCATTTGTTATTCTGATTTTATAGTTTTAATTAATTAATTCTGCTTATGATTTTTATGTTTGGTGTTACAGATTGTCTGGATGGATCACAATTAACTTAGTTGTTTCTCCATTATTAAACATTTTGATGGCTTCCTGCTTGGGATGATAAGTAATATATTCATTATTCACATGACTGCTTTTTGTTTGTTTGCATATTTGTTTTTCTTCTCTTGAAGTATTTATTCCAATAGTGGAGTTACTACATCAAAGTGAATGAGAATATTATGGTTTTTTTTCTATGTATTATATTCCAAAAATGTTGTTTGGAGGTAAATTATTATCAGTGGTTGAGGAGTTTGCTCTATCAAAAGCAATCTGAAGCAATCTCAACCTAGCAACCTGGTGTAGCAGAGGAAAAATGCACAAGAACTGGATTGCCAGTCCATTTGATATAGGATGAACATTAACTCATAATTATTAATAGTAATATTTGCTAATTTTACAGTATAAAATGATACTTCAAGATTACTTGAGTTTACATCTTTGGTTTGGTCAGAAGGGCAACAATGACCTCACATATTTTCTTTCCAAAAGAGTTGCTTAGAGTCATTGACATGTTCATTTAATAAAAGGATTTTATGGATTTCCATGAATATCTACTTGATGAAAATAATGTCAAAAGCTTTTCTGTAGAACCTTCATGTTACTTGTCCAACCTCAGAAGAGCATAAATGAGTGTGCTCAGAAGTCGAAGGGAATCATGTCCATCATAAGTTGCCATGAATGGTCGCTCAAGGTTACGCAGTGCACCACCTCTCCTACTGTGTGTGGCAGAGCAGATCTGTTCACTTGCTGTTCATTGACACATCTCACCCACAGAG